ATCGAGAAGATCAATTGGTCCATTCGGGGCGTTTCGCAGGTTTTTGCTGCTTGGGTCATTGCGCCAGGAATCTCGGGCACCATAGGCGCCTGCCTCTTCCTTTTCACCAAGCACATTATCCTGACAAAGCAGAATGCGCCGCGGAAAGCATTCTACACGATTCCCGTCTACACCTTTGTCACGATAGGTGCTATCACGAGTCAGTACACTCTGAAATGCAGCAGAGGTGGACGACCTATAACCTAGTGACTGACCTGAGTAGTGCTTATATCCTGGAAAGGGGTGCAAACCCGTGTCGACCTCACGACAAAGCAAATTCTCAAGGCCGTCTTTATCACCGCTGGCGGAGCCACCTCTCTGCAAGCCTTCTTCCTCCTGCCATTCATCTGGCGCAAGGTCATGATGGAGGACTGGCAGCTACGCTGGTGGATGATCTGGCGTGGCCCATGGCTGTTGTACATGCCGCTGCCTCCGCCGCCCCCGGCTGGCGTATCCCGCCTCAACATCAAAGACTATTACCGCGGCCACCTCACTGCCGAGGAGCTAGCCTACATGCGTGCCTCGGAATCTCTCCTCAGCTCGGTTCAGATGAGCAGCAACGCCTCGGAACTCGACAAGGACGACGACTGCTCTCAGCGCCACATACTCCCTCCGCCCGCCCTCCCCCTACCGGGCAGCCCTCCCCTGAACCAAAACGAACTCGGGCGCGCTCGCACCGCCAATGACGAGCTCATCCCGCCACGGCCGCCGGGGCCCTGGAACTCGCTCCGCGTCCTCGGCTGGCGCGTCAACCGCGTCCTCCTCCGCGGTCTCGAGAAGGACGTCATCGCCATGCAGCAGCGCAAGTCCATCCTGACGTGGCACATTGAGGACATGCACGCCCGCGCCGCGCACTACGACAACCGCGCCGAGTACATGTACTCGGCCCTCCAGATCCTCACGGCCTCGGCGGCGAGCTTCATCCACGGCGCCCACGACGTCAGCAACTCGATCGGCCCGTTCACGACGGCGTGGTACGTCTGGCGCACCGGCGAGGTGCCGGACGAGGTGGGCGTCCCGATCTGGATCCTGGCGTTCGGCGGCGCGGCCATTGTGCTGGGTCTCTTGACCTATGGGTACCACGTCATGCGCAACCTCGGCAACAGGCTGACCCTCATCTCGCCGAGTCGAGGGTTCTGCATGGAGCTCGCGAGTGCCGTTACGGTGCTGATTGCCACGCGGTTGAGGCTGCCCATATCCACGGTGAGTGTGGGGAGGAGGTTCTGCCGTACTCGTCTTTCCCCCGGATTGCTGACGAGGTCTTGGGCAGACGCAATCCATCGCCGGCGCAACGGTGGGCGTCGGACTCGCGAATGGAGACTGGCGATGCATCAACCCACGACTTGTTGCGTGGATCTACTTTGGGTGGGCGGTGACTGTTCCTGTGACTGCTCTGATGAGTGGGTGTCTCATGGCGTTGATATTGAATGCCCCCCGCATGACGCCGGCGACGTGATGCCCGCACGTGGCGTGGCGTGTTGCGCCCCCCTCGAATTGAGGAGGATCGCTCGATGAGAGTGTATCAAAGTGTGAGAGTAGAGGGAAGACCAGGTACGGTTGTGTTTGATTTCTTTGCAGCGATTTTAGCGGGACGGCATTTGGATCAAGGTGTTTGGGACGATATCCAGTAGCGACTCGAATGGGTGTCATGAGAGAGGACTCGACGAGAAGATGCATCGGCGACTTCACGAGTAGCTTCAACGCTGCCGAAGGAGCAGTGTTTTCAGCAAACATTTTGGGTGATGATCTAGGAAATGAAATCGAGATCATCACTGCTCTGAGTCTCACGCATCGACCGAGGCGAAGAATGCATTGGAACATGTTGACTACCAGCAACACCGTACCGTTGTGGCCACCCCAAGCGTCAGTCGTATATACGCCCTCTCGATCAAGGCTCGTCCGCCTCCCCAACGCACCGCCAACCCGCCTCACCTGGTGAATTTCTTCGCCTCCGCCTCGACCTCCTTCGCCTTGTCCTTCACGTACCCCTTCGCCTCCTCCGCCTTGTCCCCGATGAGCACCTGCGTATCAATCGTCTTCTGCCGGACCTTCTCCGCCTTTCTCGGGTTCGACGTAAAGTAGACGACGCCTCCGCCGACAACGACGGCCACGGCGGCCATGGCGGCCATGGAGGGCCTGCATCAGGTCCAGAGCGTGAGCGCGGCGTATACAGAGAGACGTGGCATGGGATGCGGGGGTCGGTCGGGTTACGTACCAGTCCTGCAGAACGGTCGCCTTGCGCGGCGGGGGGTCCTGGCCGCCGGGCCCGCCGAGGTCGTCTTTTGCGTCGCCCGTGTTGACGACCTTGCGTGTCGCGGCCGAGGTGTGGAAGCTTGCGGCCAGGGGGGCGCGGGCGACGAGGGGGGCGCGGTTGGTGACGGCTCTTGCGATTCGGAGAGACATGGTTGCTTTGTGTGGAGGGTGGTTTGGGGGGGTCTTGTGGATGATGGTTGTTTTAGGGACTTGGCGGCGCGTGCGCGATGCTGTATGGCAATCAACTGAGGTGTTCTCTGGTTGTTGTAGGTGAAGGGAGGTGAAGGTTGAGGAAGCGCATTCCAGGAGCTTGACCAGGAGGTGCCTTGCGTCATCGGGCCATCACTGATGACGACGGGTGCTCGGCCCCGCGGAATCCACGTATTCGGCTTCTTGTCTGGGGAAACACACGGCGCCGAATCCCCGCAGCGTCGGAATGGAACTCGACGAGTGGCATTCATGGCACGGTACGCGAGTGGTGATGGGATATGGACTTGCATCAAATCGCTGCTTGAAGTACATTGTGAGATGGAAAGGGCCAATCACCCAATCTTGATCTTCTTGCACCAGTCCCGCCCCTGCGACACCTGCCAGTCGCACAAACGCACCTCGACAAAGATGCTCAGCAGCCCTGCTATGCAGATGCCGCCACTATCACTAACGCTCGTGGCGCTGAGGCTAAACTCCCGCTCCTCGCTCGGCACCGTGTCCATGATTTCGGCAAACGTGTTCACGTAGACGGCGCCACCGAGGAGACCCTCCCAGAAGATGATGATGAACACGAGATACACGGTGGGGACGAAGTTGAGGACAGCGTGCGCCGCCAGGAATCCCAGGTTGCCGATCTGCAAGAACGATGGGACATACAGGCGGTGGATGCGGATGAATGGGATCGAAGACCGGGAGATGAAGACGCCGAGCTGGTAGAGAAAGCCGTACATGGGGTAGAACTCACGGAGCGCCTTGAACGGCGTGCCGGCGAGAGGGAACAGCAACGTGGGTGCGACGCCCTGGTTGATGGTGTACTCGGCAATGTACACGAGGAGAAGCGGCAGCATGTAAGGGACGAAGAGCTTCTTGGCCCGGCGCAGGTTGGCCTTGAGGGACGTCGACGCTGCCGCCGTGCCCTCGTGGGAAGAGTACGCGACGGCCGTGGACGCAGGTCCCGGAGCGAGAAGAGCGGACGACGCAGCCCCCTGTGGTATGTCCTCCAGGTCATCGTCGTCGAGGTCCTCGTCCGGCACTGCCGTGTAATTCTTGTCCTTGGCGTTCTGTCGGAGAGGCCCCTTGGGCAACACGACGAAGAAGCTGAAGAACATGACGGCGGGGAGGCACGCACTGAACAGCAGGGTATTCTGGACGCCAAACCCCCACCAGTCCGTCATGGCAACGTAGAGTCCTGCGCCCACGAGGCCCGCGGCACCAGTGCCGCTGCCCCAGCCGGCGAGGCTCATGGGTCCGTAGTAGTGTGTCAGGCCGAGGAAGCTCAGCTCGCCACCGCCCGAGCTGAGAGAGGCGAGGATGACGCCGGCCATCTTGACAGGGACGGATTTCGAGGGCGGCGTCAGGGCGAGGAGCAGCATGCCGGCGCCGGAGAGACCGATAAAGACGAGAACGCGCAGGGAGTATGGCACGCGATGTATGAAATAGGGAGCGATCAGTTTCGTGATGAAGGAGGGGAGCACGTCGGCCAGGAGCACGACGCCTTTCGGTACATTGGAACCGACGAGGTCCTGGGCCGCGGAGAGGATGATCACGTAAAGAACATTATTGATGAGCCCTGCGAGGAGAATATCAGCTGATAGTCGCACCAGAAATCGCACCAGGAGAACGGTACCGAGAAGCCAAAAGGCGATGATGACCTGCGTGTCAGCTTGGCGGAAGAGGGTAGAGAGGCGAGCACGATACAGCGCCCACGACGAGGAGGCTGAGCCAGGCATTGGAAGGAAGCCCGAGGACGAAGGCGACCGTCTGGGCATGGCTATCGGGGCGTTGGGCGAAACGGGAACGACGACTAACTATGCATCGGGTGTTCGACGTTCGACCACGAGCAGCGTCACAACTTCGGAGGTTGCGCGCACCGGGGTTGTTTCGTCTGTTGGGACATGATTGTCACTGACAGGAAGCAGCTGATGATGCGAGGCACGAGATGCTGAGCACGGGCCATCTCTTATCTTCACTGTTGCTGGTCTTATGTAAGCTTTCATCCTCCCAGACGTCGACGATCCAATTCTGAGCCACTCCGATGTACCATGTATATCCCTGGTGTCACTGGTGAAATACACCTTGGGCCGGCAAAGTGGGAACTAAATTTATGGAAATCTCTGCATAGTCTATCTGTAAGCAAAGAAACTATTCAGTCAATATTGACATGTAATATGCAATAGATGCACAGTACATTGTGTACCTCCATCTCGTCTCAGATGTTCCAAATGGTGGTATTCATGGTCAAATATTACAGACAAGTATATAACTATGGACTTGGTAATGACAGGACTATCCATATGAATTCGGCGTCAATATTCGCAGCAAATAAGTCCTCCGGCAATGTCCTGAAACCGGCTTCATACTCTCCGCACGACTACCACCCACCGTCTCGATTAACACTTCCTCTGGCAGTCTCCCCTCTGATGATACCAAAAGAAGAAAAACGTCTCAACACGCCATTACTGTGCCTTCAACCCCAATGGATTGTCCGTCTGCCCTCCTCACACGTTGTTCTGCGCAAAACTGCTCCTCATTTGGCTCAAAACGCGAACGAACGTAGGTAGGCCCATCTCAACATACACAGCGTCCGAACCGACCTGGATGCGAGTGCTCGCACGCTGACCATAAACTCGCACATGAGACCTGTATCTCTGAGGTGAAGAAGCATCGACGAACCCGGCGATGAAACCGCCCGCCAGAGACCAAGGATGGTTCGCCGGAAGATTTACACCTGCCGCGAAAATAGTCGACTGATTGTTCCATCCAAATGCGATATGCGGGTCGCCTTGCTGGTACGAGCCCAGTATGTTGACTCCCGCCGCAGCAAACCCGAAAATAGATTGGACATTGGGGGCTCCGTGGGGCACGGCGTGCTGCCCTGCAGCGAAGGCCGCATTATAGACCGAGAAGCGTTTCCCGATGATGTTGTAAGCCAGCACGCCGGCATTGCTAGCCTCTAGATCAACTGCGTTGTATGCGTTGTTTTCATTGTTGAGTGTGGTGTCCCAAGTCACAAATTCATTGTCTGCATTCAGAATGTTGCGCTCCGTCTGCGAGAGCCGCGGCCAACCCTGGTTGACCGGAGGTAGGAGAGCCTCAGTGCTGCCTCCCTTGTTCTTGGAGAGGTCCGCCAGCGCATTCTGGACGATGGGCGTGACAGCTTTGAAGACCACTGGAGCAGCCTTGATGACGACAGGCCCGACGGTCTTAACGACGGACTTGATAATGTCGAACAGGCCTTCCTGTTCGAGCTTCTTCACGTTCGTGTCCATCAGTGTCAGAAGCGCCGCCTCGCCCAGAATGGCCCGCTCAGTGATGCCGCCCTTGAACTTCCATCCTTGAGGGTCCTGGAAAGTCGACTCTGTGCCTCTAGGCTTGACGAGATCATGGAAGTCCTTGATCGATTGGTCCAGCGGCCGCACATGAACTCGTAGACCTTTTCGGATGACCTGTCCCGGGCCATCCGCGACCTCCAAGAAACCCTCCGTATCGCTCTCCGTGAGCTTGCTGCCAAGCGTGGTGATGAAGGCTTCGTGGTTAGCGTTGGGGAGCTTGGGCCCGAACCCGGCGACCTTGGTATCGTTGCTGCGGCCAGGCCGGAGCTTTGGGATCTCCGTCTCGGTACCCGGGGGCTTCGGGATGTTGCTGAGTGCGAGGCGCAGTGCGGGCTCTGCGACAGCGCCGACAATCTTGGGGCCAATTGTCGTGACCAAGGGAGCAAGCTTCTTGACATAAGCACTCATGCTGTCAAAGAAGCCTTCCTGCTGGCACTTGTCATTGCCCATGTGCTTGAGGCATGCGATGGCGGCCTCGCCGAGAACGGCTCGCTCAGCGATGCCCTCGTGGGCGTATTGAGACAGCTTGCCAATCTCGGCTTCCGTGCCCCCGGCGCCTCTGGCAGCGAGCTTGCCCGCGGCACCGAGGGCCGCGCCGGCAAGCGCGGCAACGGGGACACCGACAGGTCCGAGTGCAATGGGCAAGGCCACGTCGAGGGCGCTCGTGACGACAGGTGCCACAAAGTTCACGGCCTTGTTCAAGAAGTCGAGGAAGCCTTCTTCGACGCCAGTGATGTTGCCACCCAAAGTTCCCGGCCCCCCGCTGCCGGGCAGTAGAGCCTCTCCTTCGCCAGGCCTGGGACCTGGTGTTGGCTTGGGCGTCGGCGTGACCTTGGCCTCTGCTGGCACGCTGAAAATCTTGAGCCATTCCCTCTGGTGCCCCTCGACTGGCTCCGAACGAACCCGAGCATCAGGAGCGCCGTTGTAGACATCGAGGGCGCTGATGTATTGCTCAAAAACATTACCTTCAGGGCCGATGACAGATGCCGAGTTCTTTGAACCTCCATAAACATGCACCCCGATGGCCGTGACGTTTTTGGGATCCGTGGGCTTCTCCAACAGAACGGGCGAGCCTGAGTTGCCTGAAAATGTTAATACCAAACCCACTCGAATTGAGACGGCATTCTACTTACCTCCGTAGGTATCAATGGTGTATTGAAGAAGACCTTCAGGGTTGCTGCTGCTCAGTCTAGTGTCCCACGACTCGGCATCCTTGAGATACATCTCCCACATGACAGCTCCCTTCTCGTCGCTGTGCTGGATATCGGGGTTGAGTAGGTCACCAGGGTACCCAATGACACCTAGTTTTGCCTGGCTAGCGATCGGGGTCGGACTGTACTTAATCGGGTCCACACCTTCAAAACCAGATGATAGCTGGATGAAAGAAAGATCCGCGGCCTCGAAAGACCCATTGTTGTGCCAGCTTTCCGTCGTCATGACAGCCTTTCCGGTGCGGAACTCCACCTTGTAGTTGCTGTAAATATCACGGAATTTATCTTTGACACTAGGCTCAGGAGGTATGATGCTCTCCTTGCCACTGTAGCCAATATAGGCTTTGACGTGGAGCAGGCGGCCCAGCCCGTGAGAATGGTCATAGGCACAATGTCCCGCCGTCACCAGCAGGTCCTTGCGAATGAGCCATCCAGTTGCCATGGCCCAAGGGTCGTCTTCTGCTTGGTTCTCGAACCGCAGGAACAGTTTGACAATGGCTAATTCGCCATGGAACCGTCAATTTCCAAGCAGGTTCTGGGAGGGGGGGAAGGGATGGGCTTCTCACCTCGATAGACACCACCTGGCATAAAATCACGTTGGACGACTCGCTCCCTGTTGTCGGCACCAATGACGCTTTCCTGAAAGCTTCCATGGATCAAAGCCTCGGCGTGCTCGGGGCGTGTGGGTGACTTATGTTCTTCGTTATCGAGCCCCCAAAGGTAGACTCTGGTCCTGGGCTGGGTTTCAACGTCAGGGTGAGATGTGCCATTGGCACCGTTGATTCCGTTGATTGTCATGGTTTGGAAAGTGATATAGAAATGTAGATCTGAATTTGGCTGAAGATAAAAGTAGAATGAGATGGTTTGAAGAGACATTCCTGTTGAGAACGGATTGGCACTCTCTTATAGGCACTGGCCGAGATGGATATTCCCCCTTTCAACTAGAAGACCACTTTTTCTCTGTGTGGTCTGACTCCAAAGCTGAGGTCGTCCAGCAAGGTGTGGTGATCGGTGCCTCATGGGTACATTGTTTCCCATCTCCATATCCAAGTAGTGGGGGTTAGGTTGGTGGTATCCGCACAACCCAACTGTCACTCCCTGCTCCTACGGATTGGGAAGCTCAGCCAGCCAGCTTCTCTCAAAGCGCATGGCTGAGAAGGTAGCATTGGTCAAAACCTGGAAAATGCTGTGAAGTCAGCTTCGCTCTTGAGTAGATGTCTCGCAGCACGCGGGGTTATGACGCGGTGAGATCCAGCTCAGCACTTGATGTGGTCTTGGTACAATTGCGCCCAGAAGCTTTTTATTGGCCACTTGATACTCAATGAGCCACGGAAGCAAGCAAACAAACAACACAATCACTCGAAGTAAACAGTCACTCTGGTCACAGTTTCACCGACAATCTTAACACGACTTGGCTATAGGTGTGTCAATGAGAAGCGCTATCGTTTTCCTTACTGTATTGGTGTAAGATCTAGACCGAGCCCAAAGGAAGGAAACCTGTGGCGTCGGCGGAAGCACCGAATATGCTCGCCACACACATGGGCGTCCAAGCTCGAACAGGCAATGCGAGCGGCATGAAGCCTAGCTGAGAGCCCTTCTTTGAGTAGTTGTGAGCCAGCTGACGTCCAAAAGCAAGATCTGAGCTATTAGACTTTGAGTGTAGAAGCCATGCCGTCGACTATTGAGGGTTCCCCAGACATGAAATGTCTTACGGCACGGCGCGCACCGAATGTGCTGCTCAGCTATCAGCTTTACATTGAGTGCTGACATGCATGATGACTAGTACATCGCGTCTGCCGATCGTTGCTCTCTGCCCTACGCATGGTGTAAGCGCGTGGGACCTCATTAAGCTTAAGCTGTCTGCAATGGGACGTGGCGATTACTGTGCAATGTAATCCTTACGGCATGTGGGCGCAGTCATGAGACCAGGGTTCCCTATGGACTGAGACTGGGCCACGGGGAGTTGATGCAGGCTGGATAAATATTGTTCGTCGATTGAAGTCTAAATCTGCTACCCCTCCTTCCATTGCGGAAATACCCGCGAATTCCAAAGAAAAGCACGCCGAACGATGGCCTTTGGAGATGGTTCACGAGTAGACCTCTATGGCATCCTCCAACCCAAGTGTAATTGTCTCGACCGCCTCATCGGCCTCGTCCCGGAGACTAGGCTCAACCCAACGCACCAGTGCATCACTTAGTGTCAGGTGATCCTTCAGCAGTAGTTCCAAACCCAACCTCGCGAAAGCCCCGGATTGCAGACGGTCAAAGGCAGGCTTCTTTCTGATGACAAGCTCCGTCGCCCGAGGGTTCGTGATCACCAAAGTCTGCTCGACTAACTCGATGATGTCCTTGGAATCTTCCTTGGAGAATTGTGTTTCAATGCGTTTCGCATTGACAAAAGCTTGGCGGTTGGCCGCGTGAACGTTGAGGAAGTTGGTGCCAACGATGACAAGGTTCGGGACATCGAGTAACCCGCCTTCAAAGGGGTCGAGGGCCCCAATCAGTTTCTTGACCGCTGAATCGATTCCATTGATGTCGCTGGCGACAGACTCGCGCGTGACCTGAATCGAGCGCGAAAAGTCTTCGGAGAACTCAGTCGGGAGCGTGCTGGCGAAAGTAAGGGGCAGGCACGCTAAGAAACCCAATATGCTGTGAAGGTGCATGGTGAAGGCTGCGCGTGTAGCCCAAACTGAGCTGTAAGGGGCGATTGAATTTAGGCCAGATGCAGCAGGTTTGAGAAGCATCTTATGTACCCAGGCTATTCGACGCGCCATGCAATATCATGCATGCAAGGGAGGTGATCAATTCCTCAACGCTGCACCTCGTTGTCTCTGATCTGTGCGATTTGAGCAAGGGTCCTCAAAGAAGATCAAAGAAGACATTCGATGCAAGCTATGGCATTCCCACTCGATCGAGTGAAACATGCAGAGCGGGTGTCGATGGCGTACGCAACCCGACCCCATTATTGGTAGACCACCAGTGTCTGGGTAGCCGCAAGGATGACTGGCCACGGCCGTCAAGTTTAGCAACTGGATTCTTTTGGGTTTACAACGTGAAAGCGACGAGGTTAATCGATCGGGTTCATCATCTGAGGCACCTTAACTTACCTAGGTACCCTGTCGTCAATGCTACTAAATGCTGCACATCGCCCCTGGGCGTGGCAATCTGGCGGTACAGCGCGCAACTCACACCATAGGAATGGCAGGGTTGTAGTCTCTAACGATGACCTTTGGAATTGTAAGACGCTTAACAAAAATTTGGACTCACATTTCCTTTGAGTCTTCGGCAGAGCTGGAACTATGCGGCAATCCACCCTGATCAATCTTGCGGCTTGAATGCTGCCATGTGCCTCAGTTGGGAATAGCAAGGAGCGGCCAGGCACATTGGGTCAGTAGTTCATTGAAGGAGATGATTCTACGCGGAGGCACACCACAGTGGTCATATGTTTGACAGATTAGACATTAATATTCGCTGCATCCTGGCTACCCCTGAGCTGGGGACTTTGCCCTCGGCACATGGGCGGCATCAGGCTCTCGGACAACACTCGAACTAGCGACATCTGCTTCCTCCGGCATAGCTGGCTGCTTGGATCTCTGCTTCTCCGACATCTCTGGCTGCTCCCCAACCACAATAGGCACGGCTGCATCACCCGCAGGTGGCGCCGCTGCAGGCCTCGCAGGAAGAGGGGGCGGTGGCTGTTCGGCCTCCACGCCCGTTGTCGCCGCCGCCGCAGCAGCTGGCACCTTGGGGAGCCCCGCACGGCCAACAACCAGCATGCCAGGAGGATGTTCAATCTTGCCCAGCTCGGCCTCCTCCTTCCTCACGCGACGGCACCGCACGATCGCCCAGGTTGCCAGCGCCGCGATGATCAGACCCGTGCCGCCTAGACTGGCGCCGATGGCAATCTTTTGCCAGTCCTGCAAGCCAGATTGGTATTCCCCGTCGTTGCCACTGCCAGGCCCCATACCGCTGCACGGCTGGTACGACCAGCAGGAACGCTCTCCGACCTCGTCGGAGCTGGGGACGACAGCGCCATAGGAATCGAACGAAACAATGTCGGGCTGGCTGTCACCTCCCGAAGATAAAGGCGCCATGGCCAGTTCCTCGTTGGCCAGGTCGAACACGCTATACGTGTTCTTGAGCAAGGAACCCCCAATGACCCAGTCGCTGTCATTAGCGTCATTGGCGGATCCCGACGACGTGTTCTGGCTCTGGATGCCGAGTAAACACAACGGGTTTGCCTCCTCTCCATCCTCCAGGTACCAGCTGTTTGAGTCGATAGGCCAAACGTCGGCAGGAATGATCAGATCCTTGAGGTCAACGGTCAGCGCGTAGCCGCCCACGCCGCCGAGCTCGAGGGCCACCTGGCCGGTCATGTTGTCTCGCCACGCGCAGGGGACGGTGGCCTGGCCGCTATAGTAGTCGACCTCGGCGCGTGCCAGCTCCCAGATACGCTCGGCGATGCCCCACGGTAGGTTCGACAGGAGGGTCGGAGGTGAGACGGCAATGTACGTGCTCGTGCCGAGGTTGGCGAGCGGCTGCAGGATGCGGTTCTCCGTGTCAAGGCGCGAGCCGTTGATCGAGGCAACCAGGGCGTAGAAGCCGACGTATTGCATGGCGTACTTGTAGACCTGGAAGCGCTGAAGCCGGCCGGTGTAGCGGCTCGCGTCGACGGCGCCGAGGAGCAAGGAGCCGGAGGCAGTGTCTTCGTCTTCGGTCCAGAGGCTGAAGGCCGTCGAGTTGATGAGGCCCATCTCGGTCATGCGGTCGAGGAACGAGGGCGTGCCATAGGACGCGTTGTAGCCAAGGGCAAGGCGGCCGAGGCTGAGGTCGGTCTGGCGGCCAAGTCCCATGGTCAGGTTCGTAATGTCCGTGTCGCCGACGGAAATGGTCTCGCGAATGTCGTCACCGCGAACATAGTTCCCCGAGGCATAGTACTCGTCAAAGCTGTCGACGGCATCGCGGATAAACGTCTTAGACGAGAAGGTGTCAAAGCTGCCGTAGTCGCAGCCGCTCAGGAAGATGTTGCCATCGCATTCTTCCCTGTCAGGCACCCAAGTGTTGTAGGAGAAGAGGTCGAGGGCCAGGGAGATTTCCTGAGGTGGGTTGCCGACGGTAACATTGACGACGTAATCGAGGACATCAGCAACAAAATTGGTCTTGGTCTGTACTTGACGCCTTGGCGTGCTGGTGAGAGGAGCGCGATGCCGCGAGACGGGAAATTGGACCTGGGCAACAGCGCCGGCTGCCAGGAGCAAGAGCAAAAAGCGAAGGGACGCCATCGCAAAGGAAGGCAAAAAAAGAGTGTGTTTGAGCCAAAGCGTGGCTAGAGGGAGTTTTGCATGCTGCTACTGTGTTTTCACTGGAATGACGATGATGATCCCCCTCAGTGTAGGGCTGATCATGGTGGAGCGCGAACTGCTGTGAAAGGCGAACAAAGGGTTTGAAGATGGAGGGAGGAGGACGAGAGGGGGAGACCCAGAATGCCGACCCAGTCCTCCACAGGGGGTCGCCCTGATGCTTGTGATTGACTTCAGGGATGTTGGGCAGAGGGAAAGAAATGAGGGCGGGGGCTCGTCCACAGGCAACAGTCCCATCTGGGCCTGGCCTGTTTGCTGTGCCGCCTGCGCCCCACGCTGGCGCCGACTGAGGCGCTCGGTGGGCAGCCGAGCTACTCGGTGTGCAGCCTGGGTGTTCCTTCCATCTCCATTCAGCATTCAGCAAGTAAAGGTGAGATAAGATTCACCGAGAGAACTTCCCTCGAGCATCTGCTGCCTGGTATTGACTATCTCTCTACCTACGACCAAAGCCTTCCATCGAAACAGGTTCATCATTAAAAGACACACCGAGCGCCCTGCTTGCACCAAACCCAAACGAAATTCCCGAAGCCTACCCCGCTCTATACCTTCTGAGCTTCGGGGACCGCCTCCGTAGGCTCTCCCTTTTGCGTAGCGTCCTCGGCTGGCTGCGCATTCTCGACATTCTCTCGGGAGGTCTCAACTTTCGTCGGCTCAGGCTGGTCTACCTTGGTCTCTTCAGTCGACTTGGCATCAGAAGGCGCCGCTTCGATCGAAACGTCCTTGCCAGAATCGTTGTCCGTAATGACTGGCTTGGTGGCTGGCACATCGGGCTCTTTTTTCTCGACAGTTTCATCCTGCGTTTTAGCTGGTGCAGAATCCTCCTCGACCCGAACATCTTGAGCCTGCTCGGCGGGTAGAGACTCCTTCTCGTTGATCTCCTTCACGGGCTCTTCCGCGTTCTTCTCTGTAGGCTTCTCTGCAGGCTTCTCCACAGTCGTCTCCGAGGACTTCTCGGCAGGCTCCTCTGCAGATTGCTTCGCGGCATTGTCCGTCGTCTCAGCCTTCTTTTCCTCCTGTGTCTCAGCTCCGTCCTTGTCAGAGGCAGGCTGCTTCTTCGAAAAGATGTTGTAGCTGGGCATCGATACCTGCCCAAGCGATGACACGGCAGACGGCACAGAAGGCATGGATGGAATCTGCACGGCCGGCAGGTTTGGCATGTTCGGCAGTTTGCTGGACCACCAGCTCTTCGAGTCGGTCCCCGTCTGCTGAGCGATGGCGAAGAGGTACTGCATATACGTCTGCTTTTGTTTCTCGGCATCGTCGCCGCCGGCCTCGGCGTCGCTGGACAGCGGCACGAGCGACGAAGCAGCCGCAATGTCCAGGGGCGACTCGTCAGGCACGTCACCGTCAATGGGTGCGTCGGGACCGCCCTTCTTTTGGGCCTCCTCGGCACCCTTCTCACCAGCCTCGAGCGTCTCCTTGACGGTGTTGTCCTCGGCAGCCTCCTCGGGGGCGGGCTCGCGGAACTTGGGGTCGTCATAGACGTCCTCTTCGCTGAGGAACCACTTCTTGACGAGTTGCGCTGCCTCGTCGGTCATGCGCTCGTAGCCCTTATTCTTCTCCGGTCGGAACATGGACATGTGCGCCTGCACCTCGTCTTCCGAGGTGCGCATGATGCACCGCGTGAACATGTCGCTGGCGGGGTGATCGCCTTCGGGAATGGCGCAGAAGGTACGCTCGGGCACAAAGTAGCCTCCGCTCCACGTGCCGTTCTCGCCAAGCGACGTGTAAAAGTCCTTGATGCCGACGCCCTTGAGGGCGGCCATACGGTCAAGCCGACGACTGAGTTCCTTCTGCTTCAGCAGCGTGCCGACAAAGGTGAAGTGGTCAGACAGCCAGGCGAACGAGTGGCCGACGTTGCCGCGGTTGATGTACGCGAGGCCTTGCCCCACCGACTCCATGCTCGATCGGTAGCCCTCGACGACCGTGTCCTTGTTGATGTTCTTCATGCTCTTCATGCCGCTAATGATGGCCTCGCGGTGGATGTACGCCGTCACGCCGCCGGCGGCGATGGCGCCCACGGTGCCCGTGCGCACAGCCACCAGCTGCCACGTCTTCCAGGCGGGGCTCGACGAAGGGTTCGAAGCAACAGCAGCGCGCCCTGCGGCTCTTTGCATGCCGAGGCGGCTGAGGCTCGCCGGCGCGGCGGCCCCGAGGGCGGTCATGACGTTGAAGACGCTGCTGACCTTTTGGTAGTTGGAGAAGGCGCCGTAGACGAACATGGACCGCGCGAGGCCATTGTATGCCGTGTCAAAGGTGAGAATGCCCTGGATGAGAGGAAAGATTGGTGTTTTGTCGTCGGGGTTCTTGTCAGCACGTTCGCTGACGGCGCGGAAAAGCGTGTCGGCAGCAACGAAGCCACTGGACGGTGTCAAAACTAGCTCTCGAGTGAAGTGAAGACCGAGTCCACTTACCCCATGGAGTGTGCTACTAGAACGACTCCGACCTTCCTGTCGTTGGGCGGCCATGGTTCATCGAGGTGCTCTTTACGAACATCGATCACTCTCTCCTTAAGCCTGCACTATGTGATCAGCCTCGTTTCAGGGTGTTGTTGCATTGTGACCTCGGGAGGGGCCTTACCATTCCAGAAAGAATTCGGTGGCTTGCTCAAGCTCGCCTTTCGTCTCATACTTGGGGTAGACGACTGACTCGACTTTGTGGTCGGGGACCTGCTTGGCTACTTGTTGTTTGAGGTCCTATAATGGGGTCAGCACATTCCAGGCGCATTCGTGAATAGGGAAACTCACGTAAGGGAATTCTTGAAATGTATCATCGTCACCCTAGAATATCAATATTAGTAGCAGATGGTGCATAGTGCTTCAGTGACACTCGCCTTGAATCCATGAATGAAACAAAGAAGCAAAACTCGTGACATTGTGGCTGCCAAAGCGTCGACGCTCTGTTGGTATCGAAGGCAAGTTCTGGGTATAAGTTGTTCGCTAGGGTCCGAGTCAGAAAAGACAATAACAATTAGGTGGATAATGCCAATGCCGAGCTGCTTTTAGGGTAGCATTGAAGAAACTGAAATGCCGAGATGCACTTGAGGACAACAAGGATAATATACGGCGAGGGATTTGGATGCTCCAAACGAGAGCCTTGGTCGTCAAGCCTGACAGAGAAGTTGGATGTGCCAAGGTTCAGCCACACTCGTGGTGCACAAGCGTGTGGCAAGTGGCTGCCCCAGGCCAATTAGGGCCTGTTGGGACGTCACTGGTCACGTCACTCGCCCGTTGGCCCCGGCGGCCCTGTGACGCTGTCATGATGGATGGCCACCAGCGGCCAACTTCCCTGCTACTGGTCGCCGCTGCACCATGCCAGAGATCGTCACTTGGGGAAGATAGATTGTGGTGGGTGTCCTCAGCTGCAATCGATCGAAAGTGGGATTTTCGATCCATCATCGCATGTGATTGCCGCCCTGGCACGCGGGCCGCTCGCTGGGCTGGCGTGCGCGACCCAGCAACCAGGAAGCGAAGCAATGAAGCGGGAGATGCACAAATCCTCCCACGCTGGCTCACTGATGCTGCTGATTTGCTCAGAACAGGGGACCGACTCCTTGCCTATCGTTAAATTCTGCCCGATGACTAGGTGCCTGTCTGACTGGGCAGAAGATTCGTGGCTCCACTACAGGCTGTTCTCGTTCTGTTCTCGTTGAACGTCGCCATTTGGTCACGATCATGGAGGTGATCAAGACTTTGGACTGTGGTGGTGATCATGCCTGAAGGTTGACTTAAGTCATACACTGGTGAACGCGATTCGAGTGAAGCGACTACTCGAACACTGAAATCCAAGCTGCGCACTTTGAATGACCTTGCTTACTGGGTATATATGCACTCATGTTCGTTGTTTCAATGAAGGCTATTTCTGGGAATGACGGGTCATGTTCCATCACCAAGGAGACTTGCTAACGAGAACAGCATGAGGCCACGTGGGTCAGGTTCGTGGCCGATGTAAACCGCCGAGGCGTCCTACTATTTTCGCGCTTTAGTCTGGGAGGACCGAAACACTCGATCTGCTGGAGATCCGGCAAATGACAATCGTTTCGCCCCAACCTTGAGCACTTACAAACGTAAATTACAAAAGATCGATTCTCAGAAGACCAGCGTCCCTTAGAAGATCTTGCCCTCCGTCTGCTTGAACTTGGCAACATTGACGTTCCTCCAGAGAAGAACGCACGCAAACGCGATAGGCATGAGCGCCGCGCCAGCAATGACCATGTTCCTCTGGACATCACCATACGCAGTGACGATGGCCTCTCGGATCTCCGAGCCCCACTCGTAGCTCAGCTGGACGCGTAGGTCGCCGTAGATGGTAGTGGCATTGGCCTTCGCGCTCTCGGGAAGGTAGTGGGCGATCTTGCCGGGCATCTGGTTGGTCCAAATACCGCCCGAGATGGCAGAGCCGACGGCGCGACCGACCGAGGAGGCGAGACCGATGAGAGCGAGCATGACGGTGACTTCATTATGCGAGACGACGGACATGACGGCGAGCTGCTCGCAGATAATGATGGTGCCGGCAGAGACGGACTTGAGGATCTGGCACATGATGATATAACCGATGTAGGAATCGGGCTGGCGGAAATGGATCAGGAGGCCGGTCGAGAGCGCGGCGACGGGCACTGCAGCAACGGCAATCCACTTGTAGTGGTTTGTCTGGCGGATCAGACTGTGAAGTTTCAGCAAGATGACAACGAGTATGAAGAGGCGAGGTGCGGCTCACACTCCGACAATGGGGCCCCAGGTGCAGGAGGCAATGGTGTAAATGTTCAGGATGAATCCAGCTTGGCTGATGCTGCGCTGGTGAACAACCTGCAGGTACGACGAGAAGAACGAATCCCAAGCGTTGAAGCTAAGGAACAGGGCACCGGCAACACCGCAGGCCCCGATGATGGTGCGATCCTTCAGGTTGACCCACGGAACGAGCGGCACTGAAGCGTACTTCTTCTCCCAGAAGCCAAAGGTCGCAAGCAGGAGAGGACCCAAAATGATCATGGCGATAATGTAGCCCGTCTTCCAGCCGTTGGGCGCGTAGGATACCAGACTGAAGGGTAACAAAAAGAGAGAGAACCCGGTGGCCAAAAGGAACATGCCGATGACGTCGAACTCCTCAAAGTAGTAGCGGCACGACTCCTTCCATGTTCGAACGCTAACGGGAGAGACGAGCTCAATGCCCTGCTTCTTGGCTTGGTTGAGGTTGTACCACAACATGATACAGATCAAGGCACCGAAGAAAGGGAAGATGATGGCAAAGGATCCGAAAGCCCAGCGGAACGTGCTGTGTTCGTAGAAAAGCTCGGCCACGATGGGACCGGCAAATGCATTGCCAATGTATGCCGTGGAGTTGAGGGCGAAGATAATCATGCGGTTGCGTAGGGACGTAAAGTCGGAGATGAGGACAGTGTGGATGTATCCAATACCACCACTTCCAACTGTCCAAAAGACCTGGGCAGCGGCATATGTCTCGACGTTGCGGCAGAGAGCCATCATGATCAGACCGACTGAACAGAGAATGTGACACAGGAGATAGCCCTCCATTCTTCCAAAGATGTTCAGAATCTTGGCCAAGGGCAACTGCGTCACACCGTACATAAGACCAGATACGATGCCAGTTGTGGCCGTCAATCCATGGCGCTGAAATTCGGACGTGACGTATGGAGTGAGGTTGCGAGAAAGCTGCTGCTGCATAGAGTGGGTGTACGAGGTAATGTAGATGCTGTGGCCGGTCAGTCCTTGGACGCAAGCATCGATCAGAAGTGAAGAAAAGATGACCTACATGATGTACATCACGATGAGAGCCTTGTAAGACCATGCCGAAGTAATAGCACGAATCTTCTCAACACCATACTGCTTCTCCTTTGTATCGTATTCAACGTCCGACTCTTCACCCTTGGGCTTGTCTTGCTTTTCGTCACCAGACCTGTCATCCGAAATGACAGCGGAATCCTTGGCAGCAGCCTTCTCGTCGGCGCCAGTGTGGCTCATGACATGGCCGAGGGCAGGCCCAGGCTGGCCAGCCATATCATCCTCGGGTCTAGCAGACATTCTGGGCGTCGTTTGTGGTATTTTCCCTGTCCTGGAGATTTCGTAAGGGGTTCAGCGAAGAACTCAGCAGTCAGGGATCGTCAGAATCAGGTTCGTAAGACCATAAGGGGCTGTCTCATGTCTTATAATTGCAAGGCACTCGCAGATCCCTTCGGTCGCCACAAGGGTCGGAGACCGGAGTTCGTACGACATTTGCACGTCCTTGAAGTTGCATTGCCAGGACGCAAGAGAACGGCGCTAAACAGTGCCTGGGCTGGTCGATCAGTACCCAAAGCTCGTGTTCTCCTTGGGCAGTCTGTCACATTGGAGCCCACCCTGGGCTTGAATCCTGCGGTCGTGTACGTGTGCGAGCTGTGGACTTGCGGGCCAAGCTCGAAACAGAGCAACATCCTGCGACGGTAGGGTAGGGTATCTTGTTGTGGCACCACTTGTGAGCGCCTAGCCCACTAGATTTGGAGCTTTTGGTCCAACAGTCCAATGACAACTTGTGACATGACTGTTCAAAATCCACAGATCTTCATGGTCGGTTGCCAAGGCGGATCAGATAACGGTACGTCGCTCGGACGACCCACAGCTTCCGGATCTGATAACTTTAATCTCAGCCACCATCACGCACCAACGGCAGCCATTTGAACCCTTCCATGCACCTCAGTCGCCGCGGCGCTCCAACTGAGAGCCAACAAGCCGTCCAAAAGACCCACACGTTTCCGAGAGTGGTAGCATCGCTTGAGTGTTGAGGTATTTCCTCCACTTGTTGCGCCCCCAGTCTTCTAGAAGTATATGTCAGCCTCCGTCCGCGTTGTTCCGATCACTCGCTATCAGGTATTTCCTGACGCTATCGTGACCTGTTATCCGGCTTGGCATAGTCCACAGTGATTTATGAGTGGCTGAAACTGGAACCAGGTCCACCAGCATTTTGGAGTAAGCCCGAGTCATCTCGGATTGCACATTAGCTCAGATCCTTCATTTTGGATCGCTGTGAAGGTCAGACTTTGAGAATGGTGATGTTGCTTCTAACCCGTGTAACTTTTCATGTATGCTGTATTCGTTGACAACCAAGTTTGACCTAATGGACTGAAGAGGGCGGCTTGTCTAATTGAATTGCGGAGCTCCGCTGTCGGTGGTCACCGCCCGACTCTTGCTGACGATCCCAGTGCTAAACTCTTCGTCTAGATTAGTTATGCTGTGCGTAATGCAGGCCTGGCTGCTTCGTAGTCAGAAACGAGTCATCATCAGTGGGTATGAGTTAGGTGCATGCAAGGCAGTGTGCACTGACTCACTTGCGTCTGGCTCCTTTGGTCTTCCAACTCATCAAATGCCTGGACAAAATTTTCAACTCTGCTGAAGGAATTTACCGTGCTCCACGGCCGACGGGGTCAACATTATCATCAAACATCCATGATCGGCAAATCAGATCTCATTTGAACCGAGCCCGGCTCACCGTACAATGCACCACCGACATCGTATTGATCCCTGTTGCACGAAGAACGCAGCGATTGTGCTCCAAGTCTCATCTCTGCATAAGCAGTACCTCGCATACCAAGCTTTACAGCATATTTAGCGCCTGATCAAGAACATCATAACAGGCGCCAAACAACCTAGACTACTCACTGGACATCAAGCTACAGCTTACATTTGAACACTTCCTTGATATAAGCTGTAAAAAGCTAGAACCGGATGCATATGATTTATGCCATTCCTTTAGAGAGGCGCACAACGCAACAGGCATACGCTTGATATTGAAAATTATCGTCGAGAAATCCTATTGCGCAGGTAAATTTTGCTACAAAGCTGCGTTCTCATGTTAGTATCCCAAGACCTTCAACTTTGCTTGCATGGGTGAAACGTTAGTACATTCCGAGTATTATCAACGTTTCGTTTGTTTCGAAAGATTACGAGTGTGGTACCCTATGGTTCAGCTAAGTTTTGCAGTCGGACTCTCCCAGCCGTGTTCCAGGGATTTTACAGATGTTGCCATGCATAGATTTCTCTTCAACAAAAGATCAAATCTCACATTTTAGCCCATGATTGCCCGGTGGAACTCGGCTGCTATGTTCTCAGGACGATGAGATCCAACTATGAAAACTCATAAATTAAGTACATTGCGAGTACCACGAGTTTTGCACCTTGCAGGTAGTCCCTGACTGACAGCAAGTTGCGCCAGTCCAACCCTGCCCGCCACATTGCGCCCAAGCAGCAGCACAGCTTCCGCCGCCGGCAGGAGGGGGGCTCGTCGGGGGAGATGGAGATGTTGGGGGCGAAGGAGTGCCTGACCCAGCGGTGCAGGTGCCAGTTCCCACTATACAATTTCTTTCGGCCGCAGTTCTGAATTAAGTAAGTCAGCCATGCCCACCCCGTGTAGCATGCACCAGGAGACATCCCTGGGTCTAGAAGCGACTTACATTCCAATAACATAACCGTGGCGAGCACTGCGCGGCAAGGCCAAACTGGCAGGCGACCAGTCGGCAGTGGCAATGTTGCTGGTTTCGAAAGGCTGGTATCCGCGGCCGCGAGTGTAATCGTCGATCAGCATATGCGACTTGCTCGGCGTGATGTTGTCACGGAACACCAAAGGTCCTTCGCCGGCGGGTAGGCCCTGACCAATCTGGTTACGAATGACGGTCCAGGGTCCGTTCAGGGTGCTTGCGCGAGCTTGCTCTATGAGGTTGTTCGGCCCGTTCTTGCTGACGCGGTAGAATGTGGACGACGATGGGTCGCGGAAGACGGTAGCGTCCATGCCGGCGCCCGTGAGCCACTTTTCGGCAGGGGTGAAGCTGACAAAGTCAGTGGTGAAAGAGCGCATGATGAACCAGCCTTCGCCCTGAATGGATTTTAGCAGTTATTGTAATGCAAGATAAATGTTATGAACCTTGAGATTGCACGTCCAGTGGACGAGGTCTAGGGATCAACGACCCGCATTAGGAACTTCAAGACACTCTGATTCGAGGTGATAACGTACAGCGGCTGGTTGCAGGATCCCATATGGCATCTGGGGCCCAGGTCATGCCAGCATTGCTTGGACTCACGATCCTCAGCTGAGAGGCTGACCAATTTCTCAAGTTGCTCGACTCCCACACGACAAGGCCTTTGGATCCATTGGAGGTGTAGTCATCGCCTACATCCCAGCCCCGAGGGTACACTCTGAGGTCCGTGGCGACAATCCAATATTTCCCGCCGTCTTGGCTGCGAATGATACTGGGATCACGCACACCCTTCATCCCGACAGTGGAGCTCAGCACAGGCTGGCCATTGTTTACAGTGGTCCAGGAACCTGGGTTGTTGTTATTCGAGACGGCCATGTAAATTTGTTCACCGTTGGCAGTTCCCTCTCCAGTGAACTGTTGGCGTCAGTTGTGCACATTCGAGACGTCATGGCGACATCGACTCCAGGATACTCACATAAACCATCAAGTAGTCGCTTAGTTGTCCATTCTGGCGACTTTCTAGCGATGCGGGCACCGCAACAGTCACCGAGGCCAGGGTGACGAACACGAACTGATACAGCTTCATTGTGATATCAAAGTAGTTGAAGTTTGTTTCAGTACTTGAAAGAAACTCGAACAACGTGGTGCCACGGCCGGCACCGCGGTAACATTTGTAGCAGTGCTCGGCTGGCCAGACAGGGCCATCGGTCTAAATCTGCAATTCGTGACCTCTCGACATGGTCAACGGAACAGACAAGTGGCTACACGTCGAAGCTCCATAGCAATCATCCAGGATGGGCTAACGGTGTGTGATCCTCCGATTTGTTCCTCCGCTCGAGCGTATCAGAACCAGCGCAAGCACGATTTGGTCGGGTTCAAGGAGCCGGTATTGGTGCGCAAAGGACTTAGGTCGCAACAGCCATAAGTGTCGCATTGATGTAACCGCACCTGTAGTATGTACCCCGGGTCTTTTTCATGAAGAACGCGGGGAATATAGCGTGTGCTTCTCGGAGTTCTTGGGGTTTAAAGAATAAAGAGACTTAGTCAGTTCAATGACTCTCAACATCATCAAACGGCCAAATCTGGTACACGGAGAGGTATCCGATCTAAAATCTGCACAAGCTAGATTGGAATAATTAACTCGAAGAGCAGATACTCGGTGCTCGGGATTCTACATGTATGCACGGGGAAGAGCTCATGTGCCTAATAGTTGTGTTCAACCAGGGCACTCCCAGATTCCCAGATGGCCGCCCTGCATGTGTGATGGACTTTCCCATTAGGACTTGCATCTGCAATTCATTTGCCGACGCATAGGACGGAAAATCTCGATCGTTCAGAGAAACGGTGGCAGCGCTGTTTCATTTACTTCTTAGCGGGTTCGTTGACCGTCCCATAGGGAACAGATCTGGGCCACGATGGTTCTCGCTTCTCATATCAACAGAACCAAACTGGCCCCTGGAAATGATGGGGCCCATGTTGCTATCGCTTTGAAAAGTTTGACTTAGTACTCAGTTGTTGACCGAAAAAAACTAAAAAGCTTCTCATGGGACGCACTCGAAATTACCAAGGCAGGGTTTCCGACAGACCGGACATCGACCTAGAGCTGCCACTCACTTGTGGGTATCCCACTTGGGGTGATATGGAAGTGGCTGTTGGATTAACCAGGTCAGCGAACAGACTCGTCGTATCAAAACATGGCGGGTATGATTCAATGATGGATGTAGGGCACCATGTGACCATGCTTGGTTCGGCCGATGCCGTCTTTTTCAGCAGGTGCGCAGGTCACGTCTGATGGATGATGAGGATATTGACAAACATATCCAAGCGTACCAAGCATCAAGACTATATGCGCTATCAAGTGGCAAGGCCCAGGTCGCGGCGGACTTCCTGCAATATGGTGTTGAGAAGTATCATTCGGACAATAATTTGCCAGCGGATGCAAGCACCACCGGCAGCACCAACTCCGTTTTCTTAACAAGGAAAGATTCAAGAGGTGTTGAGATGAGCATAGAAACACATTTAATATTTGATACCTCAATCATGTAGGAATATCCATGACGATGTTTGTCCTCGGGCTCGCTCGCGGTCTTTGTGTTCGTCAAAATTCACCCGTAGACTGACTACCCTTTCATTGGAAAATCGAGTCCATATGGTCAACATCACGTTTTTCGTCCAGGTTGCTTTGGCAGCGTCCAGTATGGTCTCAGCTGACGGCCTCAATGCCAGAGCCAAAGCACGCGGCCGTTACTTGGGCACGGCCATCAACCCGTCGGTCATGAGCGACAGCCAGGCCAACCCCATCGCCAGCAACGGCCAGGATTTCGGATCATACACTTGCGAGAATGAGATGAAGTTTGATGCCCTCCAGCCGTCTCGTGGCACTTTTAATTACGGCAACGCAGACCGTATTGTTGCGCAGGCCAAGGCGAATGGCATGAACATGCGTTGCCACGCGCTCATCTGGCATTCGCAGGTGCCCGCCTGGGTCAGCAACGGCAATTTCGACCGCACGACCATGATCAGTATCTTGGAGACGCACATCCGCAACGTGGTGACGCACTTTAAGGGTTAGTCTAGATCGGATGTATATGAGCGTGGGTTATTCAATGCCTGACGGGTGAATCAGGATCCTGCTACGCTTGGGATGTCGTCAATGAAGCCCTCAACGAAGATCGCACATACCACACCACTGACTCGGTTTGGTACCGCACTACTGGAGTCGATTACATCCCACTAGCGTTCAATGCAGCCAGGGCTGCTGACCCCGGCGCGAAGCTGTATTACAACGACTACAACTGCGACCGCCCAGGTCGCAAGGCAACCTGGGGCGCAGAACCTGATCCGCAGGGTCCGGGATGCTGGTGCACTCATTGACGGCATGGGACTGCAGGGCCACATGGCCACTGGACAGATTGGGTCGCTTGCTACTCTGACTGAGAATCTCCAGGCGTTTGCTTATTTGAACGTTGACGTTGCATACACGGAACTTGTCAGTACTGTTCCATGTACCACCAGCAAGGACTTGCCTACAAGTAATTTCGGGCCTATGAAAAGACCAAATCGCTGAGACAACCGTGCACTTTAGGACGTCGTAGCCCGCAGCGGCCCAAGCCAGTTTCACCAGCAGGCCAGATTGGGCCACCGTCGTTCAAGCCTGCCTCGCTGTCGCGCGCTGCGTGGGCATCACGGGTTGGGGTTTCACCGACGCGTACACCTGGATCGGCGGCGGCAACCCGCTCATCTGGGACGCAAACTATCAGAAGAAGCCGGCCTACAATGCCATTCTCACTGCGTGGGGTAGCAGCAGCGGAACTCCTCCCACGACGCCCCTGACGACGCCGCCCCCATCTGGCAACGTAAGTACTCTGTTGAAGAAGAAAAGGAGAAGAGCTGACCATGTTGCCTACATAGTGCTCCCCCCTGTACGGCCAGTGCGGCGGACAAGGCTACACGGGCAGCACATGCTGCAGCCAAGGGACGTGCCGTGCCCAGAACCAGTGGTACTCGTAGTGTCTGTGAGCGCACGCCTGGACCGGCCGGCCGGTATCGCAAGTGCCGTAGTCTGCGTTCACCGGTCAGATGAGGGACAGACCCGGCGGGCATGGCTTGAAGAGCATGTTGGCCGTAATAGTGTGCCATGTTTGATGCTTGGTAGGGGCATGGAATCGTGGGACCCTCATTGATCTGACGACTAGTCTATACTAGTGAGTCGATTCTCATCCCCCAGACAACTACTTCAGGGAATCTCGTCCATGACTACGACAGAAGGGGTGCAAACGGCAATTGAGATGGATTCCGTCAAACGAGTTGCTCAATGTACATTATTGGTCTGTCGAATATGACCAGGTTGTTAGGTCGAGACCAGGGGATCCTGGACGGCGCCAGGCACAGCAGCTTTGTTCATGAGGTTTGGGTTCATGTGTCCACCACCACTGAGTCAATGACGTCGTTGAATTCCATGTACCCGTCATGACCGCCATAACCCGAGTGAACACATCAACTCTCGACTCCCGGCCAACATTGAAGCCGTGGACGACCAGTCAAGCCATCTCCGTCCCGTTTCCCGACTCGTACTGAACAGAAGCACATTCGGACATTATGGCACCAAATGGAATCAATGGACAGAATGGCGAGCCAGTATCGCAGTCGGGCAAGAAGCGGGTGCTCATCGTCGGCGCAGGTGCTGCAGGGTGAGATGACCAGCAGAGGTGAACATGAATGGTAGCTAACGTGTGACAGCATGTCGGCGGCTCATCACCTGTCGCAGCACCGTGACAAGTTCGACGTGACGCTTATCGACGCCGTCGATTACTGCGGCGGCCAGGCCTTCTCGATCCCCCTGGACAAGGAACGGTACGGCGCCTCGTGGTGCAACCAGGGCGTCCAGGGCGGCTCTTACATCTTTCATCACACGTTCACCATGTTTAATCGCCAGGGCTACCAGGCTGACCCTGTCAACCTGCACGTGTCCTTTGGCAAGGACGAGACGTTTTGGACCAACGTCTTCCCGACCAAGGTGTTGGCCGAACACCAGAGTGAGGTCCGGCGCTTCGCCAAGGTCTTGAAGTTGATGCGTTGGTTTGAGGTCTTCTTCGCCTTACTGCCTCTGCGGCTCGTCCTTAAGATGTTCTTCTTCTCCGAGGATTTTATCAATATCGTCGCTCTGCCCATGACTGCGCTCTTTCTTGGCACTGGAAACGCGACGCCCGAGGTCCCGGCTGTCATGCTCGAGCGGCTGTGCACGTCTCCGACTTATGGCATGTGGTACCCGGCCAACGAGAACACGGTTGTCGACAACAAGCCGCCAATGGTTGTGTTCCCCAACTTTTCCGAGTTTTACAGCACGTGGAAGCAGGATCTCGAGTCGCGCGGCGTGACGGTGCGTCTGTCAACCGAGCTGGACGAAGTTGTCGAGCGCAGCAAGAAGGGCGTCACGGTGCGTCTGCGCGCAAGGCGACCAGCTGAGGACTCGCATAACCCCGCCGGCGCCGATCAGGACATTCCGCCGCAGGACGAGTTCTTCGATGAGCTGGTGCTTTGCACGCTGGCGGACACGGCCAAGCGTGTGCTCGGCAAGACGGCGTCGTGGCGCGAGCGCAAGGTGCTAGGGTCGGCCAAGTTTAGCGACGATATCACCATCACGCACAACGACTCGGACTACATGAAGAAGCACTATGAGAACTTTTACCGCGAGGACCTCGCTGTCCGGGATACCAATGGCGTCGACCAGACGGGACGGCTCGAAGAGGCGAGAACGAGCTTCCGACCAATGTACTACATTAAGATGTACGACCAGGACCGACAGAAGCTCGAAATGTGCTTCGACACGACAAACTACCAGTCGCAGTTCCCGGAGAAGGTGCCGTTTGAGCAGCACGTGTTCCAGACCATCTACCTCAACAAGGACCGCGACAGCGAGCTGTGGTCGGACAACGAGATTGCCGAGGACAAGATCATCCGCAAGGACTGGTGGCACCAGCTGTGCCACAGCTACACGCACTACCTGCTCGTCGTGCCCTGGATCATGTTCCTGCAGGCGCGAAACAGCGTGCGTTTCGGCGGTTCGTGGACGCTCGTCAACGCCCACGAGGTCGCCATCATCTCGGGTCTCGCGGCCGCCGTGGATCTGGGCGCCGACTACCCCGAGGATCTCGAGAATGACCGGTTCGCGTTCCTGTGCTTCCGTCTGTATTATCTTCTCGGCTACGGCAAGTGGTACCGCCGCAAGTATAGCAAGGGCGCGCCGACGACGCAGCTCGCCAGAGACGGAGCCAGCTGGCCGACGAGCACGTACGGAGGCGTCTACCAGGGCCCTGGTGTCGCGACTCAGGAGCGGAGGTGCTGGAGGCAGGAGATGAAGACTGGAAGGAGCACCGACAATCTTGCGCAGGATAATGGCGGTAGAAGTCAACCTTGATCATCGGTCGGCGGATGTCCAGAAGCGACCAGGACGTGAATGGCGGCTCTGGCTGTGGTGTGTTTGGGTTTGTCAAGACGTGAGAAGGCATGTGTCCCAATGACGATGCAGTCAAAGATGGCCCGGGCATAGGAGTTTTCTTGAGCGAAAGGTTGCTATATCCGAGTCTGACAAATTCCTCGACTGAAATTGATGTGTGTATGTTCTGCTCAGACGAGACGGCGTAAGTTTGACCGCCACGATCACCAAGATCAGAGCTCAAGCCATTGATGGTGGGTGGTCATCTTACTAGAGGCTGCATGGCACAAAGTCAAACAGCAAATCAACCTTATGCTCGCAAATCAAGCCGAGGCAAAGATCAGAGGCGACTAGGCATAGCCGTCTGCGGGGAACCCCTCGCGGGGGCGGCACGTAGGGCACTCCAAGGCTAATCCACCTGGCGAGAAACCTTGCCAAGGATCACCACTCCAGCCCTCAGCCCTCTGCGTATGCTGTGCTCCGATGGTGGCCAACCTCGGCCACCAGGATGCCACAAGACAGCAGAAAGATTCCGCCGTGGAAATTCGCCAGCGGTTGGGTTCCGCATGCGGCTCCCCGACTATCCAAGAGTTTGGCGCCTCTTTTCAGGGATCTGGCTCCTGAGGAGGGGCTCGATTGGGCGCCCAAAGACTTGGCGTCAAGCACCTCGACGCCATTCTCGGTCTTGAAGTCGATATTTCCACCTCTACATCAATATTCTTGCGCCTGGATCGTGAGATGAAGATGTGAGCCTTGATCACCTCGGTAAACCCGCTTACAGGCGGCACTGATTGTCTTCTGGCAAGAACACCAGCAACACTGTCCCGTGTTCTTACAGGGCCTCTAGTGGGAAACGTCCACCCCGCAGGAGACTGTGCAATGGTGTCGCAGTGGTAGCGGGAGCGGGAGCGGTAGCGGAAGATGGAGCCTGCGGTTCAGAGGCAAACCATGGGTGTTTTGACCAATGCCTGGCGGCTGGCAGCCCTATGCTCAACGTATCGCATCTGGAGGGAGCTCAGGTCTCTCCCCAGAGGAATTGCAAGCGTTTATCGTCAACAATTCCGTACCAACTGCCAGCAGATACGTCACTTGACGCAAGCAAGCTGAGATGGACAGACATGCAAGTCTAACCTCATGGCCCCCCGCCGTTCGCCGTTCACCAAACAACTGAATTGTAGCGTCGCATTTCAAGTCTTGTTGGAGCCTATCCCACGCCCTGCATGACCTTCCCTTCTCGGAGGCGCCAGCCCTTGTAGTCTCAAGGATGGATGCAGCCCTCTCATGAAAATCCGGAGGAAAACGCGCGGGAAGCCGCAGTGGTCTCCACCACATCAACGCCGTCCACCAGCATGTCACATCAACGCCTCCCTACTGCCGCTAGAAGCCAGGCGAGGCGAGCAAGTTTAGGCCATGTCTCTGCACCATTTCATCAGGCGGCGTCGGCGGCTGGAAATCCGGCAGATCTAGAGCTTTTGCTGTCCGTCCAGTGACGGCGACGACACAAGGCCAAAACGCGGGGTTGGTCCCGAACGGACGACGATCTTTTCCCCCCCGCCACCTCGTGTCACCATGTGGGACGACGATGATCGTCACATTTTCCTTTGGTCCCAAGCGACCGACTTCGGCGTGCTCACGCCGGTCAAGTTGTGAGTCAAGCGGCAGCCGTCAATGGTCGAGAGGGGAGAGGGGAGTGGATGGGCTCATGCATTTGGCGCAGGCGGACAAGATAAAAAGGAGCCATCGCCGCCCTGACACTACCTTGAGGGCAAATGTGAGACCTTAAGAGATAGTCAGACCAATCGAAGGACTCAAGACAGGCACGGCTTGTCTCTTTGTCGCGTTGATTCCTCTCCACCACATCTGGTCAACACCGAGACGCCTTGTTCGTTTCCCGACACGTCACGATGCAGGAAGAACCACGAAGGCAGCACCGGCGCGATGATCGTGAAGAGTCAATCGCCGGCTCCCTCAAGGCCGGCAATGGCTTCGATCCCGAGCAACCGACGCCGGCGCGCATCGCCGACGCCAGTGTCCAGTGTCCGGCCCACACGACTGAGCGCAAGCTCCTGACCAAAATCGACCTTCACGTCCTCCCTTTCCTCTGCGTCATGTATCTGCTCGCTTTCCTCGGTATGTCTTGAGGCGTCGCCATTTGCTACTTCCTGAACTGATCGAATTGCGCGCCCAGACCGCGTCAACATTGCCAATGCCAAAGTCTTTGGTCTGGCGGAAGAGCTGGAACTCGACGGCAACCTCTACAACAATGCGCTCGTCGTTTTCTTCGTGCCCTACATCCTGCTCGAGATTCCTTCCAATATTCTGCTGAAAAAGTTTCGACCTCATGTCTGGCTCAGCATTAACATGTTCGGTTTCGGGCTCGTGACCCTCCTTCAGGGCTTCGTCCAGAACTACGCCGGCCTCATCACCACTCGCTTCTTCCTCGGCGTCTTTGAGACGGGCATGTTCCCCGGTGCCTTCTACCTCATCGGCATGTGGTACCGTCGTCACGAGGCCCAGAAGCGCTACTCCTTCTTCTTTAACTCGACGACCCTCGCCGGTGCGTTTGGCGGTCTCCTCGCCGCAGCCATTGGCAAAATGGACGGTCTGCGCGGCTTCCGCGGCTGGCGCTGGATCTTCATCCTCGAGGGCGGCCTCACCGTCTTCGTCAGCCTCTTCTTCTACTTCTGGCTGCCCGACTTTCCCGAGGATGTCAAGTGGCTCAAGACGGATGAGCGCGAGTTCATCTCTGCCCGCCTCCGCATCGACCAGGGCGCCGCCGCTCATGATCGCAGCATCACCCTACGCGACGTCGGACGCGTCTTCAAGGACTACAAGGTCATCGTCGGCGGCTTCATGTACTTTGGTCTCATCGTCCCCGCTTACGGTTACGCCTATTTCGCGCCCAGCATCATCCGCACGTACGGCTACGACGCAATCCAGACACAGTTGCACAGCGTGCCACCCTGGGTCGTGGCCTTCGGCTTCTCCATGGCTGTCGCCACCGTGTCCGATCGCCTCCGCCATCGCTTCGCCTTTGCCGTGCTCGCCATCTGCATTGCCATTGCCGGCTTCGGCATCCTCATTGGCGTGCACGACAACACGAAGCTGCAGTATGCCGCCCTCTTTCTCGTTGCCATGGGTGCCTACACGGCCATGCCCATCATTGTCTGTTGGTTCAACATGAACCTCGGCGGCCATCATCGACGTGCCGTCGGCAGCGCTTGGCAGGTTGGTTTCGGCAACATTGGTGGCATCATTGCCGTCTACGCGTTTCTCCAGAAGGACGCCCCCAAGTACATCACCGGCTACAGCATCTGCATCGCGTTTACTGCGCTGAGCATCTTAGCCTGCGTCGTCTACGGCATCGCATGCCACGCAGCCAACCGGGCGAGGAACAAGACGGCAGGCCAGGCTGTGCTGACCGAGGAGGAGAAGACAGAGCTGGGTGACGTGTCGCCGGAGTACCGATATCTCCTGTGATAGAGGCCGTGTGTTCTAGATGTGGGTTCTGTTGCGGTCGTGGACGTTGCCTCCTGATACCCTAATGAGAGGATAGGATTGTGAATCATGTTTGCCACATTGCGCTTTCTGATGCGCTTCGCACAATTGCTGTTGTGTGTCGTGTGGCTACATTTCAGCACGATTGTTTGTCGTGCTGGTCGTGTCATGTAGCTTTGTGGGTGTGATGATCATTTGCCACGAGATTGAGATTTCGAGCAACCATGCCGCATGTTTGTCTGGCCAGAATTTTTGTTGTGGGTGCCCTTTTTGCCACGATGTAACTCGAACGAGGATGGTTAGGATCTGACTCCATCCACATCACATTTTCCAATCTCTGGAAGCGGCGGCGTCGAGGAAGCACACGTTTCCCGTGCGTTCCGGGATTCGGCATCCTCCGTCTTCCAGCGCCCGAGTTCCGGGGACTGCTTTGAAGACCCTGCCCGAGATTTTCTCCCACGAGATCTTAATCTACGAGCGATCGCGATGGAAATGCTGTGTGCAGCAGTCAGTCTCCTTCGGGGTTTAAACCCGACCGAAATTTGACACGAGTTGCGGGTTGCAACGTCGGGCAAAAGTCCACTGCCGATCCCCGTATCAGAGATCCCGATCCTACCCTGGTTCCGGAAGGGGGGGCCATTGTCCTGATTCAGGTCCCCTGTTCACGATTCCTTACCCTGAACGACCCACGACGCCGCTTTCATCAAGCAGGGTGTCGGTGTCGGACAGCAAGTCAACCTCGAAGGGGAGAGGGAGAAATAGTTATCAGCCAACCGGCGTCGAAACACGCCAAGTATACAAATTCGCTCTCGTCTGATCGTATACAACATGCGCCCATTGCTAGAGAGCATCCCTCTCGTGAAACACCATGCCATGCTTAACGTAACCCCTGCGCCAGCGACGGCGGCGACTGATCGTACTCCACGGCATATGTGTAATGGGCGCGGATGCCCTTGGCGCCCTCGCGGTCCTCGCTCAGCAAGTCTCCCTTGTCCGAGTCACCGTCCTGTAGCCTCTCCCAGTTGTCGTCGCCGAGTCCCTGTACCGTCGTCAGGCTAAATCCCACATCGGTAGGGTTGCGAAATCGGTCACGGCTTACGCCGGGCGTCTTTTTGCTGTTGCCGAATGTAAAGAGGGAGACGTCGCCAGCCGTGGCGCGGCCCGAGTGTTGTGTCGAGTCTTCGAGGCCGCGGCGACGCATGATCAGGCGGCGCAGTGACGGAATCGACGAGGCGACGCAGCCGATGCCCGTTTCAATGTTGGAGCATAGAACCGTGTGGCCGACCCAGACTGTGCAGTACATTAGTAAATAGTCGCTTCCTGGCTGGTTCGAAAAGCTTCTTACACTGCAGATCGACAGGCACGCGGAAGCGGTTGACGTAGGGAATACGGACCATCGTGATGATCGACGCGCTGCGCATTCTACTATTAACAAGTGTTCCGACAACACGAAGGCCTTGGTACTCACAGTGACGCAAACGATAGCAGGCCAAATACCTGCAGCTTGGTTTGGGTCTTCATCTGCGACTTCCACAGCATGACGGCCGGCAGCACAGCGAGAGCCAAGTCGGTAACGATGGTCGTGCTCGTGGCAACGTGGCCCAGGGCGATGAACGTCTCAACCGGCGCGCACTTCGCCTCGCCGCTGAGAATGAGCGCCGGCTGCCAGACGGCCTCGACGGGGCGGCAGTATAGCAGTACGCCGACAAATGTGACGAGGAAAGATGCCCAGGTGATCGCGAGGAGAATCCAGACTGATATGCGCATGATTCTCTGCGTGTCTGCAATGCGCTGTATAGTCACACAGATAGATGACTTGACGATAGCAAGAGCCCAGACGTATGTCAGGATCCAAATGATGTAGAACTTCATCGCCTCCTCGGCCATCCAGGCGTTCAGTTTCTCCTGTCGTGTGCCAATACCGACGGTGCAGGCGTAGATTGCCAACCCTACCACTGCCGTATAAATTACCTATTGCCGTCTTGTCAGTCCACAGCCCTTGTGCTCCCCTCGTCGAGATGTTGTTCGTACCGCTCCGGCTGCCATGAGGCCATCGTCGAGGCCAAATACGCGATCGGTGATCCGCACGTAAGTTCGGAGGCCGACCGCAATAATCGACAGAAACAGAAAGATGCTCGAGACAACAATGATGGCCAGCGGCAGATGAACTGGCGTCAAGCTGCGCAAGTTCGGATCGACAGGGTTTGCGGCGTCCATCATGTAGCTTGTCGTCGATGTAGAGGATAGTCGACACAATCTCTCATTACGAGCCCGCAGATTCCCATAACGAGGACGGCCGTTCCAATATTAAAAGGCACATCCTACCCAGCGTCAGCCTCTTGAAGCTCAGACTTGACGTCTAGAACAGGGGCCCAGACCCGGAAACCGGGGCCTTGACGTGCATTGCTGGGGCTTGACTCGTAATTCCGACTGATGCCCACACAATCTCGATTTTTTCCTCGTGGCGCCGTGGAGTTGGCAGCCAAGTTCTCCACGATCCAGCCATTCAGGAGGCGCTGCATGGCGTATCAGGGGTGCAAATAGCCAGGATGTCATTGGCACCAGAGGCAACAACTCGGGGTGGGCTTCACGCAAAGCGGAGTCCCAAGAGCGCGAGTCCCGACCGGGATCCCAGGCCGGAGACCCTAGTGTGTGTGAGGTACGGCCGAACCCCTACATGTGACAGCCATTAAGTACTCCTCCTCCAGGGATTGCAGAAGTCAAGTGGGCAGAAACGCTGCGGATAGTCTTGCCTGCGTCCTGTTTCTTCTCCACAAAGTGTGGGCAGAAGTGGCCATTCTGCCAACACCTCCTGGCAAATCTCGGTCTTTTCGTCTGTAAACGGGATAACCGGCCGACTGCCCAGATCAAGTCTGCTGCCAACCTGGTTGTTGCTGCCGCGGACTTGACGGTGGTGGTTGGTCTACCCCTGACGATGGTCTTTTGCGTTGATACTTATCGCCGACATGTCTGTCATAATACTACCCTTATGGATGCTAACCTTCCCCTCGACACTCTTCCTGGAACAAACGGCTGCTGTCATAAAACCAGCCAACAAAAAGACATGTCGCCTCCCGAGCCTTCGGTTTCCTTCTTCACGGCTAAGACGGCGCTGGTCTTGGCTGGTGTCTGGCTAGTGTACAAGCTGCTTGAGGCCGCCTACAATGTCTCGCCTCTCCACCCCCTGAGCCACGTTCCGGGCCCTAAATTAGCGGCAGCCACTTACCTACCAGAATTCTACCATGACGTTGTACTATTCGGACGCTATACGAATCAGATTAGGCAGATGCACGAACAGTATGGTGAGTGGTTCTAGCGAGGACAGATGGAAGCCTTGAACATGGTCTGAAGACGGGATCAAAGCGCAAAGACGGCCAAGCTAACCACAATGTTGAGGCCCGATCGTTCGAATTAACCCCAATGAAGTGCACTGCAATGATGCCAACTTTGCCGACGATATCTACGCTGTAGCGGGGCGAAAGAGGGACAAGCCTGTCCATCAGATCAATGGCTCAGCGTATGTGCTGCCGTCTTCGTAAGGAGCATACGTTCGAGACACCGCGGCTGATCATTGCAGGCTCGGACAAGCTGGCTTCGGCACAGTTGATCACGATGTGCACCGTCTGCGCCGTATCCCCCTGGCCAAGTTCTTCAGTCGCAGCATGATCGCTCGACTGGAAGGTGACATACAGGCCCAAGTTCAGAAGCTTTGCGACAAGCTGCTCGCTCAGTCTGGCAAGAAGCACGGATTCGACATCACCATGGCGTACAGCTGCTTTACTGCCGATGCCATTTCGGGCTATTGCTTTGGTGACAGCTTCGGCTTCCTGGCCCAGGAAGGTTGGTACCCTAACTTCCGGGAGCCAACGGCGTCAATCCTGAAGCCTGTTTTCATGTTCCGCTTTTTCCCTTTTCTGAAAGGATTAGCTGTTACCGGAAAGTGGTAAGCACTTCCACACACCTGAATTGTACTGATTGTTTTGTATCATAAAGGTTAATGCGTGAGTTGCCTAGGTTCGTCAACTATCTGCCTGCCGACATTGCTCTCTTCATCCAGACGCTGCAAATTGACATTCCCAACCAAATCAAGAAGACAAAGGCCGAGATGGATGCTGGTATCATCCACGACCGCCCGACGGTCTTTGGCTCACTGCTCGAGTCTGACCTCCAGGCTCATGAGAAACAGCCGCAGCGGCTATCGGACGAGGCAACCGCCGTCGTCGGCGCCGGTACGGAAACCACGAGCTGGGCCTTGTCTATCATCACCTACCACCTCCTGACCAAGCCTGAACTCCTCGCCAGAATAACGGCTGAGCTCAACGCCAACATTGAGAACTCCAAAGAGCTTCCCTCATGGACCGTTCTCGAGAAGCTACCGTACCTGGGTGCCGTCCTTCAGGAGGGTCTCCGTCTCTCATACGGCGTGTCTGCCCGCACTGCTCGTATCGCTACAGAAGAAAACCTAGTCTATCGTGGTGAATTCAATAAGCGTCCTGTCGAATACGTTATACCCCAAGGATACGCTGTCGGCATGTCGGCCGCCATCACGCATCATGACGAGACAGTTTTCCCAGATTCAGAGTCTTTCTCCCCTGAGCGCTGGCTCGACGAGAATAACCAACGCAGAAAGGACGTTGAGCGCGGCATGCTGGCCTTTTCGAAGGGAAGCCGTGCCTGCTTGGGTATGAAGTGAGTATACTATATACCTTCTTCCCCTTGACGATGACTCCACGCTAATGACGTGCAGCTTGGCCCTTTGCGAGCTCAATCTTTCTCTTTCCGCCCTCGTACTGCGGGTTCTCCCCCACATGAAGCTGTACGAGACAACAGAGGTGGATATACTGTATGATCACGACATGTTTGTTCCATGCACAAAGGAGAGCAGCAAGGGTGTACGAGTCACAATTGATTGAAATGGACTGGTGCAAGATTCACATTGAAAGCAAGATTGACAGTTTGAGGGTCTGCGTTTACTTAGCTTTTTACATTTCCTTCAAGAACATTGTGAAATCACTTATTACTCTCATGACAATTGTCTCCGTGTTTGCTGACTTGACAGAGAAGAACGAGTAATCGAGTTTAACATGCCATGGTTGTGACCGCCCAGAGAGGTACCTGGCTCAGCATCTCTCCCCTATATTGTGATTCGCCCTCCCGCCCTCCCCCTTGGTTTTGGAAACCAAGTCTCAGCATGGTTTCCAATATCATGCTATTCTTTTGAAGGTTCTAAGCTGTGTTCATCAAAGTTGCGGCAGATGAACAAACGCTGTCGGCGTTAGAACAGAGTACGTCCGATCTTGTCGAGGGTCTCAACGCTGGGTTGTAGAATAGGAAAGGGAGTCTTCCGTAGCCTTCTCGTCATTTTTTATCATCTCAGCTCCCGTGCAAAAAGCAAGGGGCATCGTTGAACCTCTGATACGGTGCCACTGGTTATGGGTAAAACGTCCTGGATGTTGATGAGTATCTATGAAGTGCTCGTTACCTAATTTGTAAAGTAGCGCGTTGACTTGATGCATCCAATTGGTCAGAACAAGGTCAGAGCTGCATGCAATCATTTGGTTTTATAGAAGGGCTCCAAATTCTTTGTCTCGAGTCCTTTTAATCGGCTAAAAGAGATATTGAATGTGACAAAGCAGTTTTCAGTCGAGGGTGTCAAATCTCGCACATGAGATATACCTGTGCTCCATCCTTGAGTGGCTAGAATAGAACACCATTGCCATTCCCGCCAATCCCTAACGGACACCGGCCTTTGTTAATAATTTGTTCGTGATCAATGTCTTGATAATCATAGGGTTCAAGAAGACCTTGACGATTGTATACCCTGTTCCCAAATGCTCTGTTGACTCGCTACCAAGCTGTCTCATTATTTCGGATAGACTGACCAGAAAACTGTCAAAGATGCACAGCGTTATAGAACTTGCTCTTTGATGTGCACAGCAATAGCAAAGGCAAGGAGGCTCTTCCTGTTGAAGTCAGAGCCTCACTGTACACTAGCAGACGCCTTGGCCGTGAAGCTTGTTGGATTCTGTGTGGTGTGTTCCCAGTTCATGCTTTGTTTCTTATTTGTTGGCAGAAACAGCAATCTTGTCATGAGATACACACCCTACGTCTAGTCCCACTTGGTGTTATACGAGTTTACAATTTCTAGATATATAAGATATAGACAGTTACTGCCATAGGAAGACCAAAGCGAGAAGATTCACAAACGAATACAGCCCGCAACAAGCACCCTACCTGCAGACATACAGCCTTCGCAACTCGCGACCATACAACCTACAACGACATAAGTAAAAAAACAATCCCAATCCGACCGGCAAGACCATAAAGCCTTCCATATAAATTCATTTAGGAATCTAGAAACATGGAATCCTACGTTTCCCTTCCATACATGGTGGCCCCCGAACTCCTTCCGGAGCCACTACCCACCATCGAAGACATCGCTGCCTCGAAAGATATTCTGAAGGAAAGAGGCGGGCTTCGCGTCGTCCGGATCGGAAAACACTTCATCGTTAAATATGGGATGCAAGTGCATCTTCTAGAGGGCGAAAACATGCTGTACGTCAAGCACTTTATGCCTGCCTCTGTGCCCACTGTATACGCCATCTACTCCCACCAACCTGAGGGCAAGAAGTATCCCATCAATTATATTATCATGGAAAATATATCGGGCCAGCCTTTGTCATCTTGTTGGAGCTCTCTAGATCGAGAGGAGAAAGCCAGAATAGCTTGCGAGCTCCGAAAGCATATGAATCGACTGCGTCAAATCCCTTCGCCTGGTTACTTCGGGTCGATTGGAAGGCGTCCGTTTTCCAATGATGCAGCCTTTTGGACAATGTATCACATCGATAAATGTCCACCTATGGGTCCATTTGACACTGCCAAGCAGATGCTTCTTGCCATAGCCGAGGACGTTCGGAATTTGAGGCAAGACTTAGAAACTGGCCGTTTAATGCACGAATTCTATGAACGGGTCTTCCCAATAGTACTCGATAGTCAAACGTCCGTCTTTACTCATGGAGACTTGCAGAGAAAAAACATCATGATTGCCGACGATGGGGCCGTCGTTATCATCGATTGGGAAGTAGCAGGATGGTACCCAGTCTACTTCGAGTACTGTCTTGCGATGAGCGCAAGTTATTTTATGGATGATTGGCATTCTTGGGTTCCTCAGATATTGGACGAGTATCTCAACGAGTTCCCCTGGATGGAAATGCATTTCCGGACCCGCATCTTTTAAGAGGGTAGTTGCCGGAGCGTAGTTTAAGCAGAGTGAAGAGGGGTCCCGCACTAGATCCTCAGGCAATAGATAATAGGCATGGGAGCAGACACATCTGAATTTTGACCCTTCACAACCCTTATATACGCGCTCTCGTAGCCCCTAGCCCCTGACCCGTCTTGTGTTCGATGGCTCCGCAAAGCCTCCTGACAGTAGTTCAGAAATCAACGCGGTCGTTCACCAGGTCGACCGAGCCTGTCTACTGTTTTTTGGATCTTTGGCATGACAATTTGTTGAAATCATGGAACAGTTGGAAGCGCCCAATCTCAGATTTAAGCAGCACATGCGTCGCCGTGTTATTACCTCGTCTAGAGATTCTGCTAAAATCTTTCTTGGCTTAGTAACATCTCCTGACTCATGACTCACTCCTTTCTAGCCCACAACCCTTGTCCGAAGACTGCATCTGACCGCCGAATTCATAGTTTCCCATGATATTCTCGCAACAAGTCACTATGTGGACTGACCAGAGTTCTTCAAGTCTCTGTGCATGGTAGTTCGAGTGTGCCAGGTGCCCCTTGCAAAACACGCATGTCGCTCAGAGCTTGTAATGCTTCCCGGATCCATTCCTGGCATCGTCGCAATGGCTCTCTTGGATATAGTCGTTTGCTGACGTGATACTGCTTTCTTGGTGGTGGTATACTGGCGCAAATAACTTTGAGGCGAGAGTATTCATCGTCATCCACCCAACCAAGAAATGTCTTGTTTTTGTATACATGAGATGCTTCAGGTTGGGGGCTTGGCCTTGTTTGGTAAATCATCCCACTTTGGATGTTCCCCTTCACATGGAACAGTTGTCCTGATCCATCGTCTTCGCATGTTTCAACGAAAAGGGCATGATGGTCCTGGTCAAAACCAATGTACTCCACGAGGAAAACGGAATGAGCCATATTCTATCAGCAGTGAGCATGTTGCATCTTGAAGGGACGTAATAGAACTTACCAATTGGAGCTGAAGTGGGAGTAAATTGATGCCTGTTGGTAAGGAGTCTTGAAGGCGAATGGATAATCACGGATAGGTGAAAAGCTCCGGAGCTAGTTTTGATATGATTGATTAGAGTTATTGCGTATTGTTATTGAACTGTTGTTTGTGTCTTTCCGTCCTTTCGAATTTGATAGTTCCCTTGGTACCACTTGTTTATATATATTGGTCTTGATGTCTGTTAATCCGTAACAGAAGCAGCCTGATTGAATACATAGGATCCCATTAAGCCATTGGTAAGAGATTTGCAACCTCTGAAACCGATGGTCAAAGCCCTAGATTGCGTAACAAACCCCATTTGCCTGCATCAATTTTGAGAGCTGCAACAGGCGTTTCGTACATTCCTCGTAAGATGACGCAATTGAAGAAAATGCATAGCCTTAGGGACAGACTCACTGCTACTCAGTATTCAAAAGCTATCGTCAATATTATGGCTGTTTCTGAAATGTCAGGGAAGGCGGGAAGAGGGCGATGGTTGCGCCTCGTCCCTTTGTTCTGATACAACATTGGCACTGCACCCAAATTTCGAATTCCTTTATTCTGTAACCATTCCTTGAGGTCTTCCTTTTACCGACATAGCCTCTCGACTCCAACCCCAGTTCATGCAATGTCCGCTCCAGATTTCTCATCTAATATGAGACGTGACACAACGTCCTTGTTTCCTTCCAATCAGTGATTGTGAAACTCTACACGAGACCTGCCATGCTCTCTCCCTGGTTAGCGGTTCCACCTACCTGAGCATGCGGCTCACAATGGAAGCTGTGTACTTTCAGACTGAAGCTGCTTATGGCTCAGTCTTCGGGCAGCTCCTCTTCGCCCCTGTAGGAAGATTGTCCTACGGTCGATGTCAGTTACACAAGGCCCATTCCCTCTTTGACTGCAGTTCAGCTTTTTGTTGGTTTCATACGCATCTCGGGGGCGTGTCTCTCTTTCAAATCACTATTCAACACATGCACGGTGGGTGGACTTCGAACAGTGCAAAGCTGTCAGTGCTCGATTTGGAACAGAGTGAAGAGGTCTTCCACATGGGGTCCGCAGCGATTTAGGACATAGCTAGGCGGTCGGAATACATCTGAATTCTTGCCCTCCCCAGTCCTGATACACAGGTTCTCGTGATCCTTGGCCGCTAATTGCCCCCCCCCCCCCCTTTTCCGTGGCTCCGCAGGGCCATCCGACAATAGCTGCCTCTGGACTCAAGAGGGGCCAGGCCGCGGTGGAGTGGGCATTACAGAGGAGAGGTAGGGAATCTCGACTGGAATTCCAGAATCAGGAGTCCCTCATGAGACGATGACTTTTGGCTCCAATTCTGGTTTGAAAGGTTCTTGAAATCTTCAAAGTTCCTGTTCACGCCTGCTCCGAAACTTCGAAGCCAGGATGTATCAACAATACTTGCGGTCCGGATAGGGCGTTGGAATTTGGCCAGCTTCCAGATCCATGACGTAATCCCTCCAGCTTCGTGGCTGCAGGTCAGGGTAGAGTTCCCTTGCGTCGAGATAGCCCAGATACTTGGCGTTCTCGGGGGTATTGTCGCCTCGGACGGCGAGAGAATAGAAGTATTGTGCCATCCCTGTCTCCATGGTGAGGACTCCTGGATTCTTCTCGATGGTTTCCAGCAAGCTTGCCTCGGGCACCTTGACGCACATGAAGTGTCAGCAAGTTGCCTCAGCCCCGGTATCATGATGGCGACCTCCATGGAATAACTGAGAGACGATGGGAATGACAATCAATACTTGCATATTTCTTCTCGGCGGAGACTCCGGAGATGGCTTCGGCCTCGCTCCAGGCTTCAGTTGTTGTCTTGACTTCTCCGTAGACAAACACAAGATGGTTGAGGGTCCTTTCGTCAGCAATAATCCTGGCGACAAAAGGTGCGATGTCGCGCTTATCCGTCAGCGCGATCCTCACGTTTCCTTCATCAACGATGGGCATGGGCTGCACAAAGGCCTTTGGATCAGCTGGCTGGGTTAGCGGGCGCGGGATGGTCATCTGATACCACCAGCCGACATCAACGGCAGTGTAAGGAAGGTAGAGTTTCTTGATATGATTCAAAATTTCTTCCTTCTGTAAATTTGGCGAATCAGCACAAGACACAGAAACTTCCCCGTGTTGCATATGTGCCAAATGCGACTTACCTTTTCCCTCATGAACGTGACGCCGCCGGGCGGGCACACAGGAGCGAAGAAGCTCGTCACAAATCTTCCTACACTGGCTTGCTTAGCCGCTGACGCGAGGTTGAGCTCCTGCGGCATCTGCTGGAGCGTCATGCCGGAGACGACGACATCGGTGCCAGCCAGCACTTTGGCGACATGGTCGATTGGACCATCAAGGTCCACAGCGCGCACAGCGGCACCGAGCTCTTTAAGGGCCGTAAGTTCCGGTTTGTTAAGAGATGCCGCTCGGGCCAGAAGAATGACCTCCTGCAGATATTGATCAGTTGTAGGTTCACTGCCGACTGCTGTGAAGTGGGGACATAGGGTCGTACGAATTGATCTTGGTCAGACAGGAGAACGCGAGCAATAGACCCCCCCGTGGCGCCGGTGGCTCCGACGATGGCAACTGTGAGTTTGCGAGACATGGTTCTTTAATCCGAAGGTAGGAAAATCTGCACCACGCTGCACAAAAAGGTAGTATGTGTTCGAGCAGTGCACCAAAGCACAGCATTTGGGGCTTGGCCGCACTCTTATACGCCAGAATCGTCACTAGTTACTGGTTCCAGCCATGACGAAGAATCTGTCCAGCTATGTTGACGGGTCCAAGTGATTCCCCGAGATGGCCTGTGGCTTACAGATAATGACATGCAGCGGTGACACTGAAAAGGCGATTCGAAGCGGACGAAGGTCGGCCTCCTGGGAGGAAGAGCGGACAGGGGCGGAAGAGCGTGAGCAGTTCTAGTCTTGGCGGGCGGATCAGGTGCTCTTTTGGGGTCCAAAAAGCGGACTGGAGCGGATTGTTGAATCAAACATGAGCGGGTTGCACTAAACCAGAGCGGAGTTTGCATGAGATCATCTCGGCTCCATTCGCTTCTGTGGCCTCGCCAGCCTTCTCAACTTGACCGCAAACCTACTATCCACTTTTGAGGGACAGTCAATCGAGGGGGGACAGCTCACACACGCCGTGCCGATGAGCTCAGGCAGGGCGACGCTGGCTTGTCGGGCATGCCGGTACGTGCTCGGGCCAGGTCAGTCACTATCTGGTGCTGTTGTTGACATGTATCAGGCGACTGAAACGAAAATGCAGCCGAGAAATTCCAGCATGCTTATTGGTAACTATGCTCTCCGATGCCTCTTTTCTTGGCGTTTCCATACTGATCTCTCATATTTCAGTGCGAGCGACTCAACAAGGCTTGTCATTACCAAGCTCCGGGTCAGCCGCCCAGAGACGACGATGCCTTTGACGGCAGCAGCGGAGGCTTTCCCTCCTTTCAGCTTGCCACTGCAGTCATCAGGACTCCCCAAGAATTTCCATCGAGCTTTTTTCTCGACCCGGCGTTTTTCCAGTCTCTCTCATCAACAGCTTTTGTCTGTTCTGCTTGGCCGCGCGAAAGCCAACTCAGGTCTAGCCTCGGGTCGGACATTGACGCGATCTGCCAGCACTACTTCTCTACAATACACAAATGGCTGCCGGTTCTCAGCAAGAAGCGACTCCTACACTTGCTCCATAATCCGGCCGCACAAGACGAGGAGAGCCAGTCTCTCCTGTTAGTCTGCATGAAGCTTGCATCCAATTTCGACCACGACGATGGCGTTGTACGAAACCCGGCCGTGTACCAGCTGGCCAAGGCGTGCTGCACGTCCATGGAACGAGACCGCTTCATCTCACTTCGTCTTGTCCAGTGTCTGACCCTCATCGCCGTATACGAGCTGGGCCATGCTATTTTCCCCGAAGCGTACGTCACCATCGGCCACGCCTCGAGGTTGGGTGGCATGATCGGACTTCACAACAAGACCTTGGCACAGCAGTTATTCGTCACAGCAGACACTTGGACCTGCGGCGAAGAACAGCGCCGAACCTGGTGGGCGATATTTCTGTTGGACAAGTAGGTTGCTTCCAGGAGCCCGGTATGGAACATCGGGTCCCTCCCCTGTTGGCGGCGCGTTCACTGACTCAATGCACAGGTATGTCAATATCGGTACGCGATACCTCCCTCCGTCTGTCCTCGAGCCTTGCCTGGACGCCCTCCTCCCTGTCAACGATCGGGACTGGAACGAGGGCCGTATCAGCGCCAGCGAGTCTCTCCTCACAACATCGTTCCACTCGACTGCCAATCTGGGCAGCTTCGCGCGCACATGCCAGGCCGCGCACATCCTGAACAAGGTCCTCAAGCACCGCGACCACCGCACACATTCGGGCCAGGACACCGAGACGGTGCTGCACGAAGCGCTGGCCCTGCACGGTGCACTCGTTGCGCTGGAGGAGAGTCTCGCCCCGCACTGCGTTTTCTTCGGTGATTCGCACAATGACGAGAGCGCCGGGACGGTAGACTCGCCTTCGACGCATCCGGGACCCGAGGTCGTCGTTACGGCCACGTCACCGGGGATGGAGAACGCCCTTGCTCTGTCTCTCAGCGCTTCGGCGCGCATGATGCTGTACAAGATTTATGGCCCTAATGAGCCCAAGGCGGGATATGGAGGCGGACGCACAGCTCTCGAGACGCAGATGCAACGCCTTTCGTTAGCTGGAACTCGGGACCTCGTCTTGCGGCTAGGCTCGGGATTAGCTGGCGGTGTCACCTGTGGGGGAGCCACGAGTCCGATGCTGTCATCTCTGTCATACCATGTTGCTAAAGAGTGCGCATGGCTCATCAAGGAAGATTACGACACGACGATGTATCAAGCGTTGCGGAAGCTGGTTGACAGTTTGCGTCAGCTTGCCACGGAGTGGCAAGTGGCTCGTAAGTCTCCAGCACAATAGGGCGTGAACCACATATCGTCGAGGCACTAACAAACGTTGCAGAAGAGTACCTCGCCCTTTTAGAGAAGGGTGAGATTCTTGGTCTGATCCCAGATGAATGAGAAGCAAAGATACATTCCAACAAAGGTTGTTCAAAATGGAAATGTCGTAAGAGCTCCACGAACATTTGGTGAGGCTTGCTTGGGCTGCCCAAGTCCACGGTCAGATGTGATATCTCTCCCGCGCGACTGAATTCTCTTCAACGCGAAACAAGGCCTCACTGTCAAGCATCTCCTGAGCTTCGTCGAGTTATTACCAAGGCCGGCCTTCACCAGAATATCGGTCATTCCCCCACCAATTGTCCATGAACACGGAGACAAACAAGACCCTGTGAAGCAGAGAGGCACAAACACCATCACCACGACAATGACTACGCGACTCAAATTGCAAAAAAGTGTCCTCATTTTTATCCAGATATTAAAAACCCCCATGAACGCCATGTATCGTATTTCCTCATCATACAGCCAAGTTTCCATCCAGCCTTGCATGCTTCTACTGCACCAGCCAGCCGTCCCTCAGATCCTGCCCCCAATCTTCATCTTGAGGAAATCGACAAACCTCTTGGCCTGCCACGTGCTCGAGTCGTCGATGCCGCGATAGTACTCGTGCAAGCCCATGCCGCGCTCGGCGTAGCGCAGGGCCTTGGCGTAGTCGCCGACCTCGGACCAGACGCGCGACACGATGCCGTAGAGGTCGCCGCGCTGCGAGTCGAGGGCCTCGTCGTCGATCATGTCCTCCATCTCGCTGACGAGCTCGTTGACGAGGGCCGGCGTGCGCACTTCGGGCATGGCGAGCTCCTCCATGATGCGGTCGAGCTGGCGCCGGTGCATGTCGGAGAGGTACATCTCGCCCTCGTCGGTGCAGATGGGGCACTTGCACTCGAAGCCCCAGGACGAGATGATCATGTCGCGGCGGTCGTCGGAGAGGAGGTGCATGGGCGCGTCTTTATCGTGTCAGCTGTCTGAGGAGGGCAGAGAAGGGCAGGGCAGGGCAGGGTAAAGCTGGGCTGGTCTTACAGCTGATGGTGATCTCCTCGCCGGCCTCGATGTCATGGTAGGCAATGATCTCCATCTGGAGCTTCGTCTGCGACCAGCGGGTCACGGCACTGCAGAAAGTCAGTCTCACGCCCCCCCAACAGCAGACAAATCGCAACCGAGAGACGACTTACTTTGGCTTGCACGCATGGTTGATTCTCTGCAAAACCGAAAAGTCAGCACGTCTACCCCTCCCTCGACGCCGTCACGCACTGAGGCTTAAACGCACCGAAATGTCCTTGAACAGCGCAAAGTGCGCCACGCCCTGAAACTTGACCTCAAACGAGTTGGTCCGCACAATGTCGTCGATGGGGTGCCCGCCGGCGTTGCGCGCGAGGTCCAGAATCTCGAGCTGCTCCGCCTTGGCGAGCTGCAAGAACGCCCGCTCCTGCGCGGCCTGCGCCTCGCCCTTGTCCATCTCCTTGGGCCGCTCGACCATCTTGAGCATGACGGGGCCCTCGCGCGCGAGCACGTCGCCCTTTTTGATGGGCTCCTGGGCCACGAGGCCGAGGCCCTTGGCGCCGACGTCGACGAGAGCGTACCGCGGCTTGTTGCTGCCGCTGAGGCTGCTGAGGGGCGCGTCGCGCGAGGGAAAACGCAGCCAGCGCGGGTCGCGGTCCTCGAGGGAGCGGTGCGCCTCGGCGGCGACCTTGGCGCTCGTAAAGGCCACGAGGCCGCCGGTGCCCTGGAAGTCGTCCTTGGTGAAGGCGCAGTAGAGGGACGCGTAGCGGTCGTGCAGCGACGAGGACGCGCAGTGTGGCGGGTGCGTCCAGGGGTTGCGGACGGCGAGGGCCGCGGCGCGCGAGAGGTGGTCGATCGGCGCGCGGCAGGTCCAGTCGCGGGGGTTCGGGACGAGGGGCCCCGCAGGGTTGGCATCGCAGCGACGAGGTAGGCTGTCTGTGACGGTTGTGTTGGCGTGGGTGTGGGCGTCAACGCCGACGGCTGAGGCGGCGAGGAGGGCCAGGACGGCCTGGGCTTTTTTCGTCATGGAGGGCGACATAGCGAGAGGTGGTCTCAGTCTCTCGTTCGGGAGCAGGCGAGAGGTCAATTGGTCACAAGCTTCGTCTGGCAGTGCTGGAACCGTCTAGGACAGAGTGGATAGCAAAACAGAGAGCGAAGGGAGAGGCGAGGGGGGAGGGGGGACAGATCACCACAGCCATCGCGAGCTCCGGCGCGCGCTTCTTGTAGGAACACGAACAGCTAGGTCATGACACGTTTCTCCAGTTCTCCAAAAAAAAACGCCAGACCCCGACCGAGGGGTCGACCCAAAGCTCGCGTGTCGGCAGCAGCGGCGTAACCATCCGAGCCGCGGATCTGTGGTTGCGCGCCGCTTCGAGCCAGGTCCGGGGGGTCGTCGCGGGGTCGTCGTGAAGTGGGCTTTCGGAGGCTCAACTACCGAATTTGCCCAGTTTGGCAGCCCTGGGCAGATTTCCGAGACGACCGAACCTCGAGACGCGTCCGCGTGACTGCGCCGGGGACCCGATGGCCCCTTCATGCGCAGCCCTGTCATCGACAAATGAATGTCCATCGTGTCCTGTTGTTGGTTCGCCTCTTTCAGCACGTACATGGCAGTGAGATTCCAGAAAGATGACTGATCGTGTGCAGCACTCGAATCGTGCATTTCCATTGCTTGCGCCCCAAGTCTATGCTGATTCGTTAGCCCCTCCCCAACGGTGTATATGTATGTATATGTAGCCAATTGATCCATGTTGTCCAAACTCCAAGTGCTGCTGAGAGGTTCACGGGGTATTCGCACGCTCGCCACGCCATGCTGTGCATCAAGCCTCGTCAGCCTTTTTCTTCCAAATTTTCCAAAGACAAAACTCCTTCCCAATCCCACTAATGCGACAGCTTCCACGAGCCGGCTCATGGGCTTCGCCAGGCCAAGAATACCCTAATGAATGGACTCTCCGGTACGCCGAGGCAGCCCACGTCTCTCTTCTCAGATACGCCCCTTCTCGAGGACTTCGCGTTCCACCTCGACCTGCCCCGTTTCGGCCGTGTAGCGCCTCTCCAAGATCCACCGCGACTCGCCTCGATCCTCCTCTTTGATATAGGAGATGCTGTCGGCCGAGCTCTTGTGCTTGTGGCCCAGTCCTGGTCTACGCGATGACGACGCATTCGACGGCGGCGAAGAGAGATTCGGGTGCGACAAGTCGGGGCTCTGGAACTCAGGACTCGCCGTGTTGCTGAACGTAGAGGACTCGCCATCCTGTTCAATGGATGGCAGCACCGGCTCGTGGAACGACAGGTACGATGGCGCATTGTTCGACGCCGAGAAGCTGAGCGGGCTCGTGGGGATCATGGACGGGAGCGGCGGGGGCGGCGAGCTCATCATGGGGATCGACATGGTCAGTGTGGGCGAGCCAGACGCACTGCCGGCTTCGGACGAGTCCACGTCGCGACTGCGCATGGAGAAGGATGAGTTCTTGCGCCCGTGTCCGTAATGGCTGAGAAAACTGTTTGGCGGTATCGACCCCCACGGCGAGCTCGCACCGTCTCCGCGCTCCGACATTGGTGATCCCTCGCGGCTCGAGTTGAGACTGATCTGCGACCCACCCCACGCCCTGGATCGCAGTCGCAACAGCGCCGACAGGTTCATGTTGTCGTCGCCGTCGGCCATCATGGCCAGTTGAGCCAGGCCAGGACTCGCAAGACTGGATGGGCCGGAGCCCAGGGGCGGCACGGCAAGGCTCATGATCGAGTTGCGGTTAGAGTACTCTGAACGTTCCGTAATCGGTGTCAGATTGGGCTCGCGGGACACAACACGTCCCGACTTGGACCTGTTGACGCCTGAGGGTCCAAAGAAGCCCCCGTTGGAGTATTCAAACGTCTTTTCGTCGGAATTATCCCGGCTGTGACGTTGGGGGCCTGGGGCAGAGTAAAAGCCAAACTCGGATCCGTACCAGCCGTCGCCGTCATTGGCGAGTGCATCTGCGTTGGCCTCGGCAATGATAGCGTCGTCGTCAAAATCATACCCGTCCATGTCCTGTGCATAATCGTCTTCGTAATCGTCGAACGAGACTGTGTCCAGGTGAGAGTCGTCCGTGAAATCTTGGGAGAGCTCTGGACCGGCCGACATGATCTCGCTTGGCGGAGGGGATGAGTCCCTCCGGAACTTGCCGTTCGCCGCCGCTTCATTTGCCGCAGCGGCCAGAGCTGCTTGGTAGACGGCCATCTTGTCTTGCTCGGGGCCAGGGATCGTCCGTGCCGAGGCTCTGTCGGACGGCAGCCCCTCGCCCTCGTGGCTGGCACCAGACAAGTGCCGCACGCCGACGCTCAGAGACGTATGCGCCGTGGACGGGTCCGCTCCGGAAAGTGCCGAGAGTCGGGAGGTGCTGTCCGAGACGCGTTTGCTCTGCTCCTCCGCCGCCGCTGCCTCGACTGCCGCGTGTGAGGCCTGTCGGGATGCCTGAGCGGCGGCAAATGCGCCTGGGATCGGACGTCCGTACTTATCCGTGTCGATCATATCAAAGATGGATTCATCAAACGTCGAGCCATCGCCTTCGCCCGCAAATTCCATCTCATCCAGCAGCCCACCATCGAAGTACAGATCATCCTTTCTTGCTGGTGGACCTGCCAGTGTTGGCTCATCGGCTGTCGCAGTGTGCTCCGGAACGGTGGTCTGCTCCACTGCCATGGAGTCGGTGTGGTCGGCCAGATTGAGACCTCGGATTCCAAGGCCGGCCACATCGTGGTCGCCATCCAATGGCAGAGACGATTCGGCGGGAAGTTCTGGGGATACGGTGGCTGGCAGCCCGGGCGTACTCGACATGGCGAATCCAATGACCTTGCCATCTGCATCCCGCGGGGTGACAAGTAACCCCGCGCTTCGAGGGGTGGCAAGCTCGGAAGTCGGATTGGAGCGTTGGAAAACAAAGCCGGCGAAATTCTCTTGGTCATCGTCAGGGTCCTTTGCGGTATCGGCCTCGGCGACAGGCAGGGCCTCTGCTGGTAGCTTGCTGCTTAGGAGGTTCTCGTAGGGAAAGGGCTCCTCATCCTCGTCGTAGTCATCGTCGGTCACGGGAACAGGCTCTTCTTCGACATCGTATTCGTCCGACTTGATGGGAATGCGCTCTTCGAAGCCATCATCGTAATCGTCGTGAGACATGGGGATGGGTTCTTCGAACCCGTCATCATAGCCATAGTCATCGTCAGCCATTGGGATCGGCTCCTCAAGACCATCGTCTTCCATCATGGCATCATAGTCGAAGCCATCCTCGTCGAAGTCATCAAATCTCGAGTCGCGGATCGTATCAGACTCGGGCTCGTTCGTCTTCTTTTCCAATTCGCGCTGTCGATGCCTCTCCTCCAGCAGCTTTTCCTGCTTGGCTGCACCAACCATATCAAAGCTGAACCTGGAGGATGTGCTCTTCATATGGCGGGGTACAGAAGATAGAACATCTTTGCCAGAAAGTGCACCAATGGATGCATTGCGGGATCGATTGGTTCTCGTGGACGGAGCTGAAGCTCTCAGTACGGCCACAGCCTCGTTCGGGGCTACCCTGGAAGCTGATGAGGTGGAGCGAACAGAGGGAGGAATGTTCTCCTCTGGCACGCTTGGTGGCTCAGGCAGGGGCTTCCTGTCGAGGTTGGAGCTGCTCCTTGTCTTATTCGAGGCGATGCTGCCGGCGTCGGGAAGCAGTTGTGAAGCGGTTCCAAACGACCCGGACTGACCGGAGTCGGAAGCATTACTTTTGTGCCTGCCCTGGGTCAAGAGGTCACGCGAGCCGTCTCTCGACGACGTTTTGAAGAGACCTGCCTGGTCCTCTCCATCGATCTGATCGGGCAAGGGCGAAGGCACGGGTCTGCGCGTCGAGCGGGGCGCGCTGAAGTCGTGAACACGCGTACCTCTGATGCGGGGGTCATAGGAAGGCTGACGGAAGTTCTCGTTCAGAGGAAGAGGCGTGACTTCGGGCGCGTTGTGGTTCGTCTTGCTCCGACGCATCAATAGGGTCGACATGGGGTTTTTGAGGAACGGCAAGGCTCTCCTGCCCTTGGATACCTCGATATCGTTGTTGGGGGCAGCCACGGGGCTCGGCTCGGTGGCGAGCCTTGGGGCGGGCGGGCGTCGACCGGAGATGGCTTGATTCTGGGGTTGTGTCTGTAACGCCGGAAGTCCTGGGCGAGATTCTTGTGCGGTTCCGGGAGGGACAGGTACAGCACTTGGTGATGTCGGCGCGAGTGTGTGCGAGTACACGTTGAGGGTGTCTGGCTTCCTCGTGGTCTGCGGTTGTAGTGCTTGTTGCTGCTGTTGCTGTTGCTGGTGTTGGTGTTGTTGTTCCTGCAGCAGCTGCTGCTGTTGTTCGCGGCGATATTTTTGCAACGCTACGCCGCCCATAAAGCCAGACTCGTCATTGAAGGGGGACTTGACCGATTGGCGGGACAGGGACACCTTTGGATCGGGGGCTGGAATGTAGTCGAGCTGGGATTCGGCTTCGGACGAGGTGACGCGGGTGATGGGGGGCAGTGTGGGGGGCAGAACAGGCGACGAGACGGCGACAGACGGGGAGCGGGCGTCATTTGAGGGCACATCTTGCTGGAGGAAGGGAGGTTGCGCGTTGGAGGGGGAGTGCTCCCAGGGAGAAGGGGCCGCCGCCTGGTCAGGGTTGGGAGACGAGGGGTTCGAGGGGCCGCGTCGGTGGAAGCGAAGATGGGACAACATGGCTTGTCGAGGGAAGCCCCGAAGGCGTCGCTCAGTCGATCGATCGGACCGTCAGTCAGGCGCTCGGGAATGTGACTCGCAGTTGCAGAGCAGGACGACGAGAGGTTGTCGTCGGCAGAGGTCGTCAGTCGCCGCTGGCGCTGTCGTATGCTATGTACGCGGCCGCGATGGTGTCATGTCCTCGCAGTCGCAGGCACACGCATTTCTCGGGACGACGCGGTCGGCGGGTGATTGTGGCGCGGCGAGGCGAGGTGCGGTGGAGGGGCTCCGCATGGATGGGCGAGCGGTGGGGGTGAAGACGATGGCGAGGTCGCCGTAGTCGGGTATTGAGTGTCAGGAGCCCGGAGCCAGGAACCAGGAGTCTTGAGTCGTGTTTGTCAGGCGAGGGAGAAACGTGTGATAGTATGACGGAGGGAGGATGGTGTAGCAATTTTGAAGGACCATCCTCACCTCACCTTGCCTACCTACCTACTTACCTCACCTACCTACCTAGGGTACCCTACCTTGAACCTCAGGGAGGCACTGGCACTGGTGCCGATTGCAGGTGCATGCTCCACGGGGTCCTCCTGCCTCTGCTCCAATGCGACGCTGTAGCATGCGTCCAACGGAGGCAGGCGCATTCTGCAGTGCCTTGGTCTCTGCTCTCCCTCGTGCTTGGCTGGCCGAATGCGAAGCTTTGGGTCCACTTGCCGCGCTCGAGGAATTGGAGACGGGCCGGTACGTACCTCTACCTACCTACCTACCTACCTACCTACCTACCTACCTACCTACCTACCTACATGTACTCACCTTACTTGACTTACCTACCTGCTTTACCTACCAACCTACATATAGGTACCTAGGTACCTTGCCTACCAACCTGAGGTGCCTAAATACCTGCCGAGGTTTCTCGAGATTGACCTCTGAAGGCGGATCGCGAGAATGATTGCGTGTCTCTTGAGGCCATGGCCGACTCACTCGCTCATCTCGCCGTCCGTCTCGTCACAGTCTGGCCAGCGCTGCAGTCAGCGTGTCCACGACAAGAGGGCAGAGCACACGATAAGACAGCGGCCCGCACTGTCAGGGGCACAGACGCTCCCTGGAATTCGGTAGCTTGGCGGTAGAGGCGCGCGCGCGCGCGGGCGCCGAGGAACTCAAAGTGACCTCATCCAACTCTGAAGCAGGAAGCAAGACATCGACCTTGGTTTGCCGACCCATGAAGAGGCGGCTTTGCATGGAGCCTGCACTGTACCATGCCCATCGTGAGGTGAGGTACCTAGGTACGCAACGGTTTCGTCGAGTCTCGCCCTTGGCGGAGTCCCCCATTTTTCGTACCGCCGGAGGTCCGCACTGTATTCTCTGGCCACAACAAGCGAGACAGCGCTCACAATCTCGCGTGCGCGGGCGCCGTGTCTGGTATCTGGGCACATCTTCTGCCGCTTCGTTGCGTGCAACGCGCTCTCAAATCGATCCGTCCCAGTGAATCAGGCCCCCCGCAAGCATGCTGGCACGTCGGAAGCGAAGCCATCGTCTTGCCTCTTTTTTTTTTTTTTTCCCTCACCTCCGGTTGACAGGGCAGGTTTTTTTTTCTCGACACCCTGGCTGCAAAATGGGGCCACCGACCAAGGTTTCGCCCAAAGTAGACAGTGTGGTGGTGGTCCCTTGGGGTAAATGCTCCTGTCCTCCTCGCCTTGCTGGTGTCGGTATCCCTTGAGCTCCCTCAAGCCGAGCCAGCCTGGGATGAAAGAAATTAGATTACTTCTTCGTCTCTGACAACGGCTTCTTTTTTGTCGTCTCATTTCACGCTAGGAACACCCGAGAGCCCATGCCCCCAACAAAGACCAGACCAGACGAATCCGCAACAAAGACAGGCCGTTGACACGTCGCGCCCTGACACAGGGACACGCCACGACTGCCATCTCTGGCAGCTGCCGGTCTTGTGCTGACTGACCGTCAGATCGCTGCACAGCAATGAGTGCCATGATGCTATTCATAGCGTTAGGGAGCGCCGCTCACTTGGAGACCTGTGCACCAGCTGCAAAGGCCGTCCTGGCGTCGCGCTCTACGAGCCAATCGTCCGAAGTGCAAGCATCGTGATCAGACGAGGCGCGTTGCTTGACTCGCTTCATCAGTTCGCTACCCAAGGTAAGGTAGTCACAGTCGCTCAGCTGTGCTCGGTAGTGCTAGCTCAGCCGACCCATAAGGAAGGGCAGAATGAAGGGCGAGGAGAGATGGAGGTACCAGAGCCATCATCGCAAACCCCCTGCCATGACGACGCAAAATGAAGATAGGTCAAGGCTAGTGCTCGAAGCCACACCAAGCCCGACGCCCTCGATCGCCTCCTCGGCGCACGCTCGCAAGGTCAGAAGTACACAGTACTTGCGCGATGCTTCGATAAGGTTGCATCACATGAAACTGAGTTACTACTGAAAGGCCAAAGGAAGGATTGAATTTCTAAAAGTCTAAGAAAATGTTTCTCAAGTCGTTCTAGGAGACGTCTTCGTTACCTAACGTAATTTGGGTTCTTTGTACTTTAATTCATAGGTCAGACTAGTTAGTATGCCAGAAGGCCGAAGCAAGAAAAGCATAAAGTTGTGCAAAGCTGTCGAAAATTCGTCTGTCGAAATCCGCCCATGTCATTTGCCCACTGCTGAGCCTCATCTCCACGCCCTCGCACATCCCCCTCCCCGAAGTCTCTTTCCCCCGCGGGTGCTATGGCGAATCTTGTACATAACGAACGATCTGTGCTGTGCCTTATGATGGTGCCAAGGCATTTAGGGGCGCCCAATTGGCACTTGGCGTCTCCTTCTTTGCTCGTGTCCCCCCCCCCCCCCAGAGGACTCCCAGAGGGCCCATTGCCTGCCCCAGTGAACAAACAGGCGCGGCGATGCCCCGTGGCTTAGCGTTGTTGTGGGAAGGCACCATGCTGTGAAGCAGGGGTCATATCGCCCGGATTGCTGGGGCGCGTGCTAGGGCGCGTGCTGGGGCGCGTGCTGGGGTCCTCTCGCATTCGTACCCAGTACCTCAATCTCGAACCCACATCACCCAACGAACCCTCCTGCTCAGCCCCAGTAGAACGTAACCCCTGACCCAGATTCCTAGGTAGGCAAGGAATTGCTGAGAGGTAGGCAAGGTAGGTCGATAGATGGATCGACCAAGGCTACTCCTCTGCACGTGTACCTGCATAGAGGAGGGGTTTCAATTCAAACCCAAGTACTTTTAGGTCGCCTCGTCTGGTCTCTGTAGCCTTCTCCCCCCCCCCCTCAAAGGCCATCTTCGACTGCCCTTTCCTCAGCCGCGGCCCGCCTCCTCAAACCACCAACCCAGCTCTCTCGACATATCTTGGTACTTGGTTAGCCTTCCCCTCAAACAACCTCCTCGTCTCCGTCCTCGTCATCTTGGGCCCAAGACGCCATCATGGCCAGCCTCAACGACTCAACCGTGGCCTCGGCCCTTGGTCTGCCCATCCACCCCTTCCACCCCCTCGATGCCATCGTCAATGACTACGTCGAGAACACCATGTCCACCCTGACCATTCTCACCATCTTCGCATCGACCTGCGTCGCCATTCTCCTGCCCACGCTCCTGCTCATTCGTCGCCTGCGGCCGAACCTGTCCACGGGCGACGTCTCCACGGCCATGTGGTTCATCGTCTCAGGCTCGATCCACCTCGGCCTCGAAGGTATGTGAAGCCCCTACCTCCTTCATGACGCCTCACTCGTGAAAGTTCACTTTTCTCACTGCCCACCTCCATCGATGTAGGTTACTTCTCCATCCACTCGGCCCGCATGGGTCCCAGCCTCACCGTCCTCGGCCAGCTCTGGAAGGAGTACGCCCTGTCCGACTCGCGCTACCTGACGCAGGACTCGTTCGTCGTCTGCATGGAGACGGTCACGGCGTTCGTCTGGGGCCCCATGTGCTTCCTCTGCGCCGCCGCCATCGTCCTCCGCCACCCGGCCCGCCACAGCCTGCAGGGCATCATCAGCCTCGGCCAGCTCTACGGCGTCATCCTCTACTACGCCACCTTTGAGTACGACAATGTCGTGTGGGGCCGCGACTACTCCCGCCCCGAGAACTACTACTACTGGGGCTACTACGTCTTCCTCAACGCCTTTTGGTTCTTCATCCCCCTGACTCTCATCCTGCGCAGCGCCGTCGCCTCGACGAGGGCTATTGCTACCGTGCAGAGGCTGGAGGCTAAAGCTGGGAAGAAGAACTGAGGCCTGAGGCTTGCTGAGCGTGGCCCCACGTAGCCTGAGTGAGTAGACGCTCTTGGCCAGGAGGGTAGAGGCGCCCGCGTGACAGTATTTTAAGGAGAGTCGTTTGCCTTGGACATAGTATACCAGTGCCTTGTGTGGCGTGTTGCTAGAGGGTCTCTCACATGAGTGGCTAGAGATAGACGGTCAATAGATGGATGAATCCGGCCCTGGCTGGCGCTCTCGTTGTCTGGCTACATCTGAGAATCCATACGCGGTGTGACGAAATACTGTGATTCGATCGTTGAGCATATTGAGGCTATGGTGAGTAGGCGTGCTCGTTATGAGCCCGACTTGAAATTCACAACGAGCATGGGCCATGTTGCCACCGTAGTCCCGTAGCATTTCTGCACAGGACAAGTTTCATCGAACATTGATGCCGGCCCTGGCCAGGAGGCTCGTTCTGCAGCGCATTTTTGGCTCAGCCCTGCAGCATCTCAACTCTCTTGTCGGGCTCAAGGCAACGGCTCGGCACGAGCCGGTCTGCAGGGTTCCTGAGCCATGGGACAGGCCGGCTGAAAGTTTGGTTGAAGGTTCGAAACTCAACATAGTGGCAGCAAACCGTCGCGCCGAACGAATCATTTCTAGGTGCTAGCATGAGTTGCGAGCAGCTATACAGAAATCTTGCTTCAGCACGACTTTGTTACGGGATTGGACATCAGGGCTGAATCAAACACTCCATTGGGGTCCATGTATTTAGGCTCCCTGATTAGGAGAGTATCGGAGAAAGGTGTGGCTCAGAAGGTTTAAGCCTTCCAAGGTTCGATCTTCAGGGTTCGTATCAACATTTTCCAAGTCAATAAATAGAGTATCGTGCGCTGGACGCCTGCTCTGCACCTTTGGGATCTTTCCCGTATCTCATTCATCATCAGCATCCGCATCGCGAGATTCCACTGCTGTGCAAACCGTTGTCTGAACCTTGGCTCTGTGGTTTCGATCTGTACACTGGATACTGTCTCATCGAAGTATAAGTCATGACGAATAGATCTAACGTATGTCAATTGACCATGACCATCTTGTCCCAAATTAACACGGATAGGCGAAGCGCAAAAGGAAGCAGCCGGCCAGGTACACCCCGGAAGAAGCCGGCCCCGTGCAAGACGGCGACTTCTACCCCCTCTTCCAGTACCAGCTTCCCGTCCCCCTCCACTATCCCCGGCGACAGCACGCGGGCGACGCCTCCGAGACGCCTGCCCTCGACCCCGTGGCACTCCCGTTCAGCCCCAGCAGCGCGACGACCCCCGTGAGTTCGGTAGCTACACCAAGCGTAGCATCCGAGGTCGGAGTCGCGCCCGACGCCTTCGCGACCCCGAGTACAGCATCCAAATACGAAGACGACAGTCTCACAACCTCGGTGGCCGGCGTGGCAAGACCGGTCATCGTCTCTTCGTCGATGCACCTCGACCCGCCATGTCTCGTCCCCGGTCTCGGTCGCGACAAGGCTCGATCACCGCGCCTCCACGGCGTTGGTGTCAGTGACGGAGCTTCTGATGAACATCTCCGTCCTCGCAGCACGGCAGCGGCGCCCACTCCGTCTCTGCGTCGCTGTTCCTCGACAGTCTGCACAGTCGAGAACTGCGCTTCGCTTCACAGGTCCGAGCAGCTTGCTTCACGCAATCCGAGCGCCAAAGGTCGAACGGCATCAGCAGATTCAGACGACAAGGACAAAACGCAGGAGGAGAATCCCCCCCCTCGGCGCCTCTATTCGGGTGCACATGCAGAGGAGAGAACTGGCGGGCCCCTGCAAGAATGTGACTTAACTTGTGTGCGCAGGTGCGAGGACAGTCTCGGTCATATCGACACTGACGAAAAGCCTGAGGAAGCTGGGGACGCAAAGGAGCGCCGTGAGATACTTGTCGCGCCTTTTCGGCGCAGGGGGTCGAGTGTGTCTTCGTCTTCCAAGCCCGTAACACAAGAGGGCCGCTACAGTACCGTCAGGGATGTGGAAGACCCGTTCATCGACACGTTTGATGCGGCGGCTGGGCCAGGCACTTCGCTTTGCTAAAAAAAAAACCGTCAATTGCGGAAGATACTGAAAATAACAAGCCTAACGAACATGTATGATGACTAGAAGATCGAACGAAATGTAACAGTCATAGCCGCACGATACTGATGTGAACAGCTGGCACAATGACTAGAGAGCTGAACGCCTGACTTGAGGAACCGCAAAAGCAAGCTATAATTATTCAACCTTAGTAGTCCCAAATCGATAGACAAGCTGCTATAAACAAGGCTAGGTCTAGAAAGAAAAAAAGAAGGCTGAAAGTGGGTATCATCAGATGCAAACCGTTTAGACCAACTCATGCAGCGGCACCTGCTTCCTTCGCCTTCTCCGCATTCAACTTCTCCCACCGACTCAGCGAGCTCGTCAGCAGAGCAAGCCCCGTAGCACCAATAGCGATCGCAATGGCGACCTTGATTCCAGCCATGTAGGCATCCAAGATACCGGGGATCTCATCAGATGAAAAGACTCGTCGAATTTCTGTGGCGCCGGTGGCCACGACAGTTGCAGGATCGACGTTGGGTGCGGTGTTCGGCAAAGATCGCAGCATCGTGTTGACAAAGGCGCATTGTCCAGCGGAGACAAACGAAGAACCCCCGAGATTCATAAAGACTAGTCCGTTAATTCTTGTAGCCGCAAAAGATCTCAAAAGGACAACTCACAAAGAACCATGGCTGTTACGGTCGAGACGTCGGTAGGGTCGGCATAGCTCTGGGCAACGATAATGGGGACCTGGTAGGCGATACCCCAGCCAATGCCGCCAAACAGCTGGTACCCAATCCACTTGCCCGTATCTGTGTCCGTCTCAAAGGTGTACAGAAGACCGGTCGCGATGACAGTGATAGCGGCGCCAACAAGCTTGAGTGGGGTAGCGATGCCCGTGCGAGTTATGAAGAAGCCGGAAATGATCATGGAGAGGGTGACTCCAATAATCAATGGCAGATTCCTGACACCCGACATGGTTGGGGTAACACCATTGACGCTCTGGAAATAGATGGGCAGGTAGTAGATGATGAGGAAGTACGATCCGGAGAAGAAGAAGGTGTAGGCACAGCTGACACCGACTGGGCGAACCTTTAACAGGCGCGGTACGAGCATGGCGCGCTCGCCTTGGGAGCATTCCCACGCGGCGAATGCCACATACAGAAGAACAAACCCGACGAGCAGACCGATTACCGCGCTGCTGTTCCAAGCCTCGGTCTGTCCAGCATACTGCAGACACAGGATGTAGCAGATGATGGCGGCCATGACCAGAGCTACACCAATGGGATCCATCTGCAGCATCTTTTCGCGCCAGGTAGCTTCGACAGGCCTAGCAGCGGCGGGGGCGTGGAAGAAGAACACAACGATGAGAACCGAGACTGCGCCGATGGGGAGATTCATGTAGAAGCACCAGCGCCAGGTCGCGTGATCGGAGAACAGGCCACCGAGAAGAGGACCAAGCACAGAAGCAACACCGTAGGACACACCGACGAAGCCGGTGTACATGGCGCGCTTCGCTGGCGGCGCGGCAAACGCGATGATGGTGTAGGCGCCGGTACCGAGACCAGCGGCACCGAGGCCGGCTATGGCGCGGCCAATGATGAGGGCGGTCGAGGTGGGAGCGGCACCACAAACGAGGCTGCCAAGCTCAAAGACGAAGACAGCAGCAAGGAATGTCCACTTGAGAGGGAAGTACTTGTAGGCTTTGCCCCACGAAGACTGAAAACCGCCGTTGGCCATGAAGAAGGCGGAACCATACCAGGAGACATCTTCAATGCCGCCAAATTCGTCTGTGATCTTGGGGATGGCGGTAGCGACGATGGTCTAGAGGATCAGCTTTTCTCATCGGCAGCGATAGATGAGAATTTCCTACCATATCGAGAGAGGCAAGAAAAATGGCGAGAATGAGGGCCACGACTATGAAGACGAGGTTGATGCCAGATGGATACTCGTCCGAGTCTGGGGTTGTATCAGCCGTTGACGACTCAACGATGCCGTCGGTTTTCGCGTCCAGTTCTGTCGAGCGCCGAGGTGCGAAGCTGGAATCCTTCTCCTGATGCATTTCGATTGACCTCTTATTCAGGGAATTGGAAGAGACGGAAGGTGTCTGTGAATGCACCATGGTCGGTGCTGCTGATTTGTCAAAGGCGTCAGGATCGTCATCGAGGCGCTGAGTGTGGTCTGGAGCGTCCATGTTGCGTGCCGGACGCCTTGTGCGAGTAATTGCTATTGGAAGCTGTTGGAAGCTTCTTGTAGGAGGCCCATTGCAATCGGGGGAATCTGGTTTCTCTTAAGTACAAGACGATATATCTAATTCTACTCCCAAGGCAGTAGCATAAAAACAACACTGCAAGGTGCCTGCCGCATGGTTGCTCTCAGGGAGGTTTGGCTCGAGCGTAGACATTGTGAGGCGCTAACCCGGATATGGCCAGGTCAAGCAGTCTTGGCTGAAAATGGTGTGGTTGATTGGCTGCATCGGACTGTGTCTTCGATGAGCCATCATGACGGCTCCACAAAACGTGAGCTACCCAAGCCACCGCACCGCAGCACGGATGGCGAACGAGTCTCCCTCACTCGACGCTCACCTGTCGACTCATCAACTCGCGCACTATCACCAGCTCCTCATCGCCAGATGCACACTGCCAGTTTCGAGAACGAGGAGACACACGAACCCCAGCGAGGAATGGTGCATTCAAAGTATACCCGCATGATGAATACACTTATAACCAAAATGATGTCCATTCAGCATTTGCCCTTCGATCTTCCATAGCCTTACGACAATTGCACAGGCGACCTACCCTAGTCTAGTGGCCACTTCTCGTTTGAGGCTCGGGTGGTGGTGCTATTCACCTGGGAGCTGTTCTGCAGCTGTCTGTAGCCGTCTGTAGCTGTCATCAACCCCCGCGTTGACACAATTTTGCGTGAAGGTTGGCCCACTTACCGACGACGCATCAATCGTACGATATTCGCATGGTCCATTTCCCTTCACGGACATGACAGCCCGATTGATTGGACGGCACCTGCTGGTACCATCTCTTAGTTGGGTGATCTCCAGGTCCCTTACAGCATTGTCCCAGATGTTGAATATCTCGTCTTGTTGGAAATCTTAAGTAGAGATGTTAGGCCTGCTTGATGTGTTGGAGAGCATCGCCCTGCTGTCACGACAGGCCCGCACAGGCCATCAAGGAAAAGAGACAAGCTAGCTACCTACTCATGTGATGTTCACAGTACGAAAACCGAGACAGGTCCGCCCTCCGGTGATCGGCGAGGCTATCCCCGCTGCTGCCACTCCATTGCTGGATTCAGTAATGAGCAATGCCATGTATGCCCGAGAAAGGGGACAGATGTTGGGTTCGGTACAAAAAAGACGCGGCGGGTCTAGTCGGCAGACTTTTCCCAGGTACAGGTGCGCCTCGCAGTCAAATGCCGAGGATAGGCGGTGGGCAGTCTCTCTCAACATGGGTTCGTATACTCCTTGGCCACGCCGTGAGAAGAAGGAACACTTTGATGCCAATCATCCCAAGGACGCATCACAATGTCGGTCAGGCCAGCTACAATGAGGCGCAGACAAGCACTTGGCTGTGCTTGGCCTGTTTGACAGCCGTGTCGATGCTCGAAACATTTGTCCGAGGGGGCCGTCGTCTTGCGAGACGTGCGGGCGCGCGCCGCAATGGTACAGTAGACGATCTTGGAATTGACGGGTTCGTGTGGAACATCCCCACCGTTGGCCGTTTTTCTCGCTCGGCCTTCTTATCAGCGCGAGGTAAGGTACATGTAGGTGTGCCTTGTTAGCTTGCCTAGTGGTGTGGTGGGACGCCGATGATGGCGGCCTTTGTTTCGGCACAGATGTAGCGAGCCCTGGGAGTCAAGTGCCTCGACATGTGAGTCAATGAACTCTCTTGTCATGCACTCGTCCCAGGGCAAGTCAGAAGAGGGGCCTTTTTATGAGGCAGGGAAAGAGGGGTTGCGCCTTGTTCTTGCAAAATTCTGTTTTTGATCGATGCTTTCCATGAACAGAGGACAAGTGCGCGGGGGTGGCAGCGAAACAGTGCAAGTGCAGGTGGGGGGAAAGAGGCATCAGAAGCAAGAGCGCCGGAGCTGGTGGTCATGGCGTTTGCTCACAGAATCGAGTGCCGGAAATATCGGCCCCTGCACTGCCCCTCCACTACTGGTCCATACCATCTTGGTGGCACGCCAATTTCGCGTGCCAGCTGTTAAGGTCGACCTCTTGTGGCCGGCAATGAATCACGTACCGGGGGGGGGGGGGATTAGCGATGACAGGGTCAAGACAAGACAAGAGCTATCCTGACGCTGTGACGTGGGTGAAGCCAGCCGCGTCTCAACAAATCACGACAGCTCCTCCTCCACCCGTAGCTGCTGCCGACGCCGACGCCAACGCCGACGCAAGACGCAAGACGCAAAGACGCAAAAGAGCTCAATCGCTCACTCGCCCAGCTCAGCTCGCACAGCTTCTTCTCTCCCACTTCGCGCCGCCCTCAATTGGCTCTCGGTCGGTCCTCCCTGCGCGATTTCCCCCTTGGCACGTCACTTGGTTGTACCCCCCCCATATCACCCAACCCACCCTAAAACGTCCCTTCCCACCACACCACCATGTTTAAAGCACGAACGAACCCCTCGTCCCTGCGACATCTGACTGCTCGCCTGCTCCTCCAACCTTCATCATCTTTGTCTGCTTCGGCTCCATTCCCCCCTCTGTCAGCATCGACGGCTGTGACCCTGCCCCAGCGTGCCATCCTTCCTCGCTTCTGCAGCTACCACTCCAACGCCAACTCCAACTCCAACTCCAAGCAAGACGACCCACCGGCGGCCAGCAACAGCAACAACACCACGCTCTCCTCCAAACCCAACACGTATTTTTCCTACACCGACGCGCAGCCGCCCAAAATGGCCGAGCAGGACATCACCAAGTATCTCACCCAGACCCATGACCGCCTCTTCGAGCACAACAAGATCTGGGCCGCCGAGCAGGCCAAGAAGGACCCCGAGTTCTTCACCAAGCTCTCCGCCGGTCAGACGCCCGAATACCTCTGGATCGGCTGTGCCGACTCGCGCATCCCCGCCGAGCAGATCACGGGCCTGCAGCCCGGCGAGGCCTTCATCCACCGCAACATTGCCAACCTCGTCTGCAACATTGACCTCAACGTCATGAGCGTCATCAACTACGCCGTCCGCCACCTGCACGTCAAGCACATTATCGTCTGCGGCCACTACGGCTGCGGCGGCGTCAAGGCCGCCATGACCCCCAAGGACCTCGGCATCCTGAACCCCTGGCTGCGAAACATCCGCGACGTCTACCGCCTGCATGAGAACGAGCTCGACCAGATTAAGGACGAGTCCAAGCGCTACGACCGCCTCGTCGAGCTCAACGTTGTCGAGCAGTGCCGCAACGTCATCAAGAGCGCTGCCGTCCAGCAGTCCTACAAGGAGAACCAATACCCCATCGTCCACGGCTGGGTCTTTGGCTTCCAGGATGGCCTGCTGCACGACCTCAAGATTGACTTTGAGTCGGTGCTCCACGACATTCAGAAGATCTACAACCTCAACGATTAATCGATGTCTCGTGAGCTAGATGGGGAGTGCCGTAGCGATTGACTGGTAACGAGACGGGTCGGCGAATGGAGACATGCAGCTTGTGAGCTTGGCCGGCGTTGTATTGGGGTGGGCACGCCCGGCCCGAGGTCCGTGGGGTTGGGTGGGTGAGCTCAGGCGAAGATGTGGTGATTCGGCGTTTGGTGTGGTGACTGGCTAACAAGATGAGAGGGTTTTTTTTTTTTTTTTCTTGGGTTGAGCAAGGGTTTGGTGATCTGGGTGTGGTCGAGTACATCTCGACCTGTGTTCAGTTGACATGGCGGAGAAAAGCCGCTGCGATAGGTTTTCAATTCATCACGTATTCTACACCACCCCGCTCGACTTGCATCGACGGCGATAAACAAAACAGATGAACGACGACGACGCATGACTCGGCACCCATTCAGGATTCAGGTCCATGAGTTCGACCTCAATTAGATCCGTCCATGAACAATCCGATAGGGCCGTATCGCGAATCCGATCTGCAGTCGACGCACCCCTCAGAACCCGCACGCACCGTCTGTGGTGGTTGACAGCATCCATGTTCGACTGTGATCACCTAGTGTCGATTTCTCCAACTATTGTCCGGACATCGTCGCAGCACCGGCAGCGCGCCGCGCGAATGTTGATGTCATTTCTTTCCAGCCTCTAGATTGACCTCGTCGTACGACGGCGGGTGTTCCCCTCAATTCGAGTGCGACCTTCTCAAAAGGTCTTCCAGGGCCACCAACAGCCAATGCTCACCAGTAGCATTAGGCCGCTAGATCCCTATCCAGCAGGTGGCATGCGATCAACGGCTATCGGGTGGGTTAGCAGCATGGGGCCCTCTCCGCCGCCGATCCTCCGACGCTGGGTCGACGACAGACATCCGCGACGTACCTGCGAGTTCATGCAGCAACGCAGTGTCCGCACATCGAGAGAGGGGTGGTCCCCGCGTAGACTGCTGCGTTGTGTTCCACCAAGACGGCAGGTCGATAGCTCACGCAAATGTGTATAAGTGCTCGCCACGGCCGGCTGGCTCGCAGCTTTTTGCGCCGCCATCAGAGCCTCCTTCATCTTCAGTTGTCGACTTGACCTAGCCAGCCTGGTTGAGGGTCTTTGCTCCCGTCCTCAGCATGAAGACTACCGCCTTCGCACGCCGCTCGGCGCTCCCGGCCGTCTTGGCCCTGGCGCTGCGGGCTTCTGCCGTGCCCTGCACTCCCCCTGGCGACCCCTTCGCCGTCATTGATCCCCAGAATTGGGTCAACCCCGATGACATGGTCTGGGAGGACTTTACACCGCCGCCGGGGACAAATTGGTCGGATCCGAGTCAGAAGGGCTCCATCCGTAACTTCAACATTGCCCTCGTTCCTGTCGACTACCGAGACCTGCCCTTCATCATTACGCAGCCAGAGCGGTCCACCATTTTCGGCAACCCACAACCCGCCGCCGCCAGCTTTGCACGCAAGGATGTCCCTGCGTTTTACCGCGACCTCCTCAACAAGCCCACCGACTTGAACAACCGTCACACCCTTCATGAATACTGGATGGAGGACTCGGGCGGTCGGTTTGGTGTGGATCTGACCGTCTTTGGAGCGTACGAGCTACCCGCTCTGAGCTACCAGTACGGCATTGACGACCGCTTTAACCCAGGAGAGTGTCCTGCTGGCCCTCGTTGCAATCTCAATATTCGCACCGACGCGCTGAACGCCTGGCGCAACGATGTTGGTAACGAGACGGTCGACAGCTACGACCTGGTCTTTATCCTATCGGCCGGCCAGGATGAGTCCTCGACGTGGCAGGAATTTGGTCCCATGCGCTGGGAGTCACCCGAAGATGTTCCTCCCGAGTTCGGACCTCCTGTTGACAACGCAACATCCAACGCCGCCCGCACCCGCTACGTGCCCTGGACCTCCTGGGCGGCAGCAGCTACGCTCTGGCCCAACGCCGGTGCCGGCTCATCGACACAGGGCGAGTCCTCCGGCATGGGCGTCTATGCGCACGAGCTCTCCCACCTTCTGATTATTGCCGACAACTACAACAACCCTTATTCTGACCCGCCGCAGCGCGCTTACACAGGGCCCTGGTCCATGATGTCGCGCGGCTCCTTCAACGGGCCCGGTGGTCCGCACACACGCTGGCAGGTGCCCGCCCTGCAGGGCGCGGCCCTCGGCTCACTGCACACGGTTCGTGACAAGCTGCAACTCGGCCTCACCGATGAGAACGAGGTGCGCATCTTGTCGCGTGCCGACCTCATTGCATCCGGCGGCTTCCTCGTCGCCGACATCACCGCCCGCTCCGTCAACCCTGGCCCCGGCGAGCTCATCGGTCTGCGCATCTCCCTTGGTGCGGACGGCGGCGACCGCACGCCTGCCTGCAACGCGACAGCAACGCCGTTCTGCGACGGCGGGCCATACGACCACTACGAAGTCGAGGTCGTCGACCGCATGGGCGCCGACTCGTTCCAGTCGGACGCGGGCGTCATGTTCTCCAAGACCAAGACGCGCGACCGCCTGCCGTTCCAGTGGACCATTGACGCCAACCCGCAGGACATTCGGCTCGTCGACTTTGTCCGCCCCGACGGCACGCCGCAGTACGTCACGCTTGGCGACTACCGCCAGCTCGCGGACGCGCTGTTCCACGCGGGCACGCGCTCCGGCAGCCAGGCCGAGCACGTCGACGCCGCCAACGGGCTCCACTTGTACGTCGTCGACAAGAAGCGCAGCGAGGCGGGCGTGCTGTCGTATACGGTGGCCGTCCGGGCGACGGCGGCCGCCGATGCGGGGCGCCGCGGCGTCGAGGTCGGGAGGGGGCTCGTGACGGACCTCCGGCACAACAAGCCGACGGAGAAGGGCGTCACGTGCTCGTTTGAGGTGACGAACACGGGCGAGGGCGCTGATCTCTTCCGTCTCGAGGCGCAGGTCGAGGGTCGGGGGTGGCGGGTGGCCGTGCCGAACGAGCTGCTCGTCGTGGAGGAGGGCAAGGTGGGCATTGCCAAGGTGGCCGTTGGCGCCGTCGCTGACGCGGCGGGCGAGGGCGTCGTGACACTGACGGTGACATCGGAGAGGGGCGATGCCGAGGCTGCGGGCGAGTGTCGGGTGACGAGGGCATGATAGGAAGATGCCTGTTTCAACGAGAAGCTGGGGAGTGGATGACTGAGACGAAATTTCACATGAGAAGTTGCATTGTTTCTCTCTCATTCTCTCTATTGGGTATCTTTTTGTTGGCCATCCAAACCAACTTCTATCCACACCGTGACCAGTAAAAATTTCGTCTCGACTCCGGGGCGTGCGTCCTACCCGTAGCCCCCCGAGAGATGCCCTATATAGTACTCCAGACCCTTTCTCGAGTCAGCTAGGAATCCCCCATCTCGAGATCGGGATCAACCTCGGTCCCGAGATGCCTGTCCTCGAGGAAGCGCCTGCCCTGCATGCCCTCGGGCAGATAGTCCTGGCGGACCTTGCCGTCGCGGTAGTTGGGCGGGTACTTGTACTCGGCGCCGAAGCCCATCTCGCGCATGAGGCGCGTCGGGGCGTTGCGCAGGTGGACGGGGACGGGCAGGGCGGCGACGCCGGGCTCGCGCAGGGCCGAGTAGGCGTTGTTGAGGGCGCGGTAGGCGCGGGTGCTCTTGGGGGCGAGGCTCAGGGCGACGGCGGCGTGGGCGAGGGGGATGCGGGCCTCGGGCATGCCGATCTGCTGGGCGGCCGTGTAGGCGGCCGTGGCGAGGGGCAGCAGCGAGTTGTCGGCGAGGCCGACGTCCTCCGAGGCGATGACGACCATGCGGCGGGCGACGAAGAGGGGGTCCTCGCCCGACTGGAGCATGCGCGCGAGGTAGTAGAGGGCGGCGTCCGGGTCGGAGCCGCGGACGGCCTTGTGGAAGGCCGAGATGGTGTCGTAGTGCTGGTCGCCGGCGCGGTCGTAGACGAGCGTCTTGGTCAGCGACGCCTTGAGGTCGTCCATGGTCGTGTCGGGCCGCGCCGCCAGCGAGAGGGCCAGCTCGAGCAGGTTGAGGGCCGTGCGCGCGTCGCCGTCGGCAAAGGCGGCCAGGTACGTCAGCAGGTGGTCGGCGTGGGCGGCGTCCGCGAGCAGCGGGGGAGGGCCGCCGGGACACTCGGCGGCGACGGCACGGCGCAGGATGGCGGCGATGTTCTCGGCGCTGAGCTTCTGCAGCGTAAAGGTGCGGCAGCGCGAGAGCAGGGCGGCGCCGACGCGGAACGAGGGGTTCTCCGTCGTGGCGCCGACGAGCGTGATGGTGCCGGCCTCGACGGGCTTCAAGAAGACGTCCTGCTGGGCTTTGGTGAAGCGGTGAATCTCGTCGCAAAAGATGATGGTCTTGCGTCCGGTGAGGGCGAGATCGTTGGCGGCCTCGAGAAACATCTTCTTGACTTCGGCGACGCCCGTCGACGTGGCGTTGAGCTCGATGAACCGGCTGCCGGCGCGGTGGGCGATGCAGCGGGCAATGGTGGTCTTGCCGGTGCCCGAGCCGCCCCAGAGGATCATCGAGGGCACGCGGTCCGTCTCGATGAGGGAGCGCAGGACGCCATGGGGCCCGACGAGGTCCTGACCAAAGACATCGTCGAGAGCCTGCGGTCGCATGCGTTCGGCAAGGGGCGCCGAACGGGCCGTCTTTGTGCGTTTGGGCGCCGGAGCATCGAGGACGCCCTGGGCTGCGGGTGGTTGTTGTGGTTGCTCTCCTGAAGGCGTCGTCGCACCTGTGTCTGTGTCTGTTCGTGCCATCATTTCCTGCCCTGGCCCGTCGTCAAAGGCTCTCTTTTTCCCTGCTGCCGGCGCCAGCGGACCGGCCGCCTTGCCGTTGGCGTTGGGTGTCAGCACGCGGTTCGTCGTGGCCTGCCGTTTTGCGGCGGGGGTCTGGAAGAAGGTGGAAGCGGCGGATCGTTTCGGCTGGGTCAGCATGTTGCCGGCGCCGTTGGTGTGCGAAGGCGTCGAGGGAGGCGGAGAGGACGTCGTGTTGGCGCTGGAAGATGGGTCGAGGATGAAGCTCTCGCAGCCCGAGTCGATGTGGTTGTTGATGAGATTTGGCTTGACGGGCTTGTTGCATATTGGGCAGTCGACGGCCATGTTTGGCTGTGGAGTGGCAAAGGGAGGAGGACGGATGGATCTAGGGCGATGAGCTAAGACGAAGCGACAATAGAACAGAGACAATAGATGGGAGTGAATGGGTGGCAAACAAAGCAAAGAAGGCTGATGTCGATCGGATCTCCAGGTTGGGGAGGGGAGATGGAGCTCGCCGAAGAATTGACTCCATCGATCATGGTCTTTCCTCCATGTCCACTTTCTGCCGTCGGACGCGCCAGTGGGGCATCGGGGGGCGACGCGCTGTCACATGGCCGCGTTGAGTGGTTGCGCCACCATCAGCCACAGGGCGTTTTCTGGACCGTCTTCCAGGTACCAGGTACCTAGACCTGAGGACCGTCCAGGTACCAGCTACCTAAACCTGAGGACCGTCCAGGTACCTAGATGAGGACCGTCCGGGTACCGAAGACCGTCCCTGTCGTAATCCGATATCACCGAGCGTCACCGTTCAGCCTCCCAAGATGCATCCATCTTCAACAAGACCACAGGTCAGGCATGCAAAGAGAAGTGAATTGCTACGCCAGCCGGCCAGCTAGCCAGACCGGTGTCTACCAAAAACGCCGTCCATGCGTCTGTCTCTGTGCTGCCTAGGCGCATGTGCTTCCAACATGCCCATCATATCAAGTGCCGTCATGCTCCACGACACTGTCCATCGCTGTGTGTGTGTGTGTGTGTGTGATTCTGCGACCAATTCGTCTTCGTACACTGTCTGCTCGACCCCATCTCCCACCTCATGCCGTCCCCGACTCTCCTGTCCTCACACCATGAACGACTCGCCGCAGCCGCATTCCTCCTCTGTTTTCGTCAGCTCGTTTGCTCAGGGAGGACGACAGTATCACAAGAGAAAAGAAAAGAAGAGAAGAGAAAAGAAAAGAAAGGAAGGAAAGGCAGGGAAACTCACTAATGTTGGGATTCTTGAACACAAACCGCTGGCTCAGCTTGTCCTCGACCCAGTCCATCTCGCTGCCAATGATGCTGAACAGCGCCTTGCTGTCAATGAGCACCTTGACGCCGTCCTGCACCACCTCCTCGTCGAAGCTGCCCGCCCTGTCCACCCACTCGAGGTGGTACGCCAGCCCGCTGCACCCGCGGTTGCGCACCCCGACCTTGATGAGCTTGGGGTCCGGGCCCTCGAGCATCGCCTGCAGCTGCTCGACCGCCGCCGCCGTCAGCTTCATCGCCGCCTTGCGCGCGCGGAGCTTGGGCCGCGGGCGCGCCGTCTTGGGGGGGGATGCTGCTGCTGCTGCTGCTGCTGGCGTGGCCGCCGGGGATGTGGTGGCTGCGGTGGCGGCTTTGGGTGTCGGAGGGGATATTGTTGTTGTCGCTGCTGCTGACGAGGATGGCGGTGTCGTCGTCGTCGTCGTGGGTGCTGTGGATCCTGCCCGTGCTGCCGACCGCTTCGCAGGCTGCTCGACTTCGAGCGTCGTGCTCGCCACGTTACTCGCTGCTGATGACGTCTTCGGAGGCCGCGTCTCGTTCACGGCGGGCAGCGGCTCCTTGGCCTCGGCGCGTGGCGGCGGTGGCGCGTTGTTCGGGTAGAGCGAGTACTGCTGGTACGCAGGAGTGCCGTAGCATCGCCGTGCTGTTCTCGTCGTTGCTGTCGCTGTCGCTGTTGATGTCCTGGAGAGTGTGTGCTCGGAGGCGCATCGGAAGACCGAGGGGTTGGCGCTGCGGAGAGCTAGCCGCGCGGCGGACGCGACGCGGTGGGCGCTCATTGTGTAGGGATGAAAGCGGCTGTGAGGGTATTGTAGGTGGATTTTGTGATCTGGTCCTGTGCTGGTGTTGTTGGTGTATAGGTAGGGGTAGTTGGTAGAGACGAGGCGAAAAGAGGAGGCGAGTTGGCTAATTATGATGCCACGGCTCCACTAGTCCAGTCCGACTGGGGATCGTCAGGCTCGCCGGTCGTCAATCAATCGATGCCAATGAAGGCTCCTCGTAGCAAGAGAGTGATTAGGTGTTGCGGTGGGTGACAAGGTCGTCGAGTTCGCTGGGCTCGCAGGTCGGTGAAGGTGACTCGGTTGTCGATGGCAAAAACATGCGATTTCTCAGCAGGTGACTTCTGGCAGAACCTGGCAGACCCCCCCGTGGCCCGCCCCGTGGCACGGCTATGACATGGTCCTGTCCGCCCCTGTTGCACCGCGCCAATCAGAACATGTGCATTACTAGCCTCCAACGCAGAGGGTCGGCTGTCGTCGGTTCATCCTCGGCTGCCAGTTCGGCATCGCAACCCTAACCCTGACGGCGGTCTTCCTTATATACTTATGTACCCCTGTCAAGACCGTTCTTCAAGTCTGGAGACTCGGCCAGGCATCGGAGCTCCGAGCATTCTTGACAAACTATCTCACAGCACCACCACCAGACAGGCCCCGCAACATATTGCAGCTTGTTGCGTTGTGCCATGCAGTATATTGTACTACATCTTGTGTGCGCCCCGCCCCCTTGACCCTCACCTCGAACCACCGACGAGGCCCCGTCCATCAGCCACAGCAACTCTGGCCACCTTCTTCAGCAACGTCCTCTCATCCGCCTCGCGATACCTCTCCCACGTGTCAAGCCCCTCTTTGGCCTGTATGCTGAGCGTCTCGTATCCCTGCTTGATGACATCGGCGACCTCGACGCTCGTGAGAATGGCGCCCCTCGCCTTGGCGTCCTTGCCAGCGCCCGTCTTGAGCATCTCCTTGTAGTGCGCGCTGACGCTGACGAGCGTCCCGATCGAATTGCTGCCCCTGCTTCCGAGCCCGTACGTCTCCTTGAACTTGACGAGCACGTCGCCCGCCTCGACGACCTTGTAGAATAGGTCGTCGTACGCTGCCGGTGACGGCAGGAACGCCTCGCCCGTCGACAGCGACAGCGCGACGAGGTTGACGACGTGGTCCAGCAGCAGCTCAATCTGCGGCAGGTCCTTGAGGTCGGCGGCGTACGTCGTCAGGAACCGCACGAGGTGCAGCAGCGCGCGGAAAAAGTCGGCCCAGTGGTACGTCAGCCGCGTGCGCGACCGCGACAGGTACGACGTGATGCGCAGCATGATGCCCACGAGCAGCGTGTAGAGACCCACGTCGAGGCGCCGCCGCAGGTTGTGCGAGATGCCGTCGACCATGGTGTCGAGGATGGCCGTCGCCATGACGCGGTCGCCCTTGACCAGCGGGAGGTACGGCGAGCGCTGGCGGCATAGGCGCACGGGCGTCTTGGACTCGTCGCTGCAGATGCGCTTGCAGAGCACGGGATCTTCGACGAGCAGCCGGAATGCCATGAGGTTGAGCGTCGCGTAGTGTGATACGCGCTGCGATAGATGTGCGTGCTGCAGGAGGTACGACGTCAGGGAGACGTAGCTCGCAAACGGCTGCTCTTGCCCCTTGTCTGCGGCGAGCGTCACGAGGTTGAAGCAGAAGAGTTTGTTCACGTGCGTAAAATCATATGTCGTCAGCAGAAGCGCGGCTTCCGATCCAGGGCTGTAGGTAGTCCATCATTAGCATGGTGACCCGCGCAAGGGCGGACAGGAGAGGCAACGCACAGCTTGGCAAACATCTGCTTCTGTGTCTCCGCATCGTACACAATCTTCTTTTCTGGCTTTGGGCCCCTCGCCACGATCCCGAGTCCGATCATGTGCAGTGTGTTGCTAAACGTCCAGCCCTCGGGCAGATCGTCCATAACGTCCACATAGTCAAGCCGCAGCTTCTGGCACGCGTACCCGACACACCTGATCATCTGCTGGATCGTCGGCTCGTTGACAATTTCGCTGAGGCGCTGCTGATATGGATTCTGAAACTCAAACTTGTTGTAGTTGGCCAGCAGGCCGAGAAGGGTGTACGGTTCGAGAATCTGCCCCGGATGCTCTGTCTCGTGGATATACTGCCACCCAGTCAGCCTACATACGGAGCAACCACTAAGTCTCCGCCAAAATGAGAAAAGGGGGGGAAGACACCCACCTTCATGACAGCCGGGAACAAATCCCGTTGGATAAAGTACGTCAAGAGACTCGTCTGGTACGCCCCCGCCGTGACGGACAGCACAACCTCGACAGCCCTGCTCCGCAGCTCGAGACTCGTGCCAGCCCGTATGACCTGGTCGAGCGCCACGGCAAACTCGCCAAAGATGGTGTCGACGAGGTCGATGCCCGCGAGCACGGCAATGACGTCCGAGGTCGGGTGCGCATACTTCTTGCCGAGCGCGGCCGCCAGGAAGACACTCAGCGTCTCGAGTGCGTGCAGCTGGACCGTCGCCGAGCTGGGGCCGGGGCTGGGGCCGCCGCCCTGGACGGCCTCGACGCCGCGCTCAAAGAGCTCGCGCGTGCGCTCCTCGAGGCCGAGCACGTCCGCCGCCGAGAGTCCATCGAGGAGGGCCTGCAGCGCCGGGCGATCGGGGCGCAGGAGGAAGAACTCGCGCCAGAAGCCCTCGCCTCGCTCGGTCGTGTCGTCGTCCTGCAACAATGGGGGGGTTTGGTTAGCGAGTGAGCGCCTCGCAGTCGCAGGGAGCATCGGCAGGCTTAGGGGGCCTGGCGGGGACGGAGACATACCTTTGTTTGCCGGAGAAAAAGTCAGTGTATGATTCTGATTTGGTCTTCTTTTCTTTTTGGGAGGGGCATGTCGCGTCTCGTCTCATGCATAGCGCACCTTGAATAGTGAGTCGTAGAGCAGCACAATCTTGGGTTGGAACACCTCAGGCTGCGGCTGCCGTGTCAGCGGGGAGGCCTCCATTCTCGTCGCTCGTCCCTCCAGCGGACACCCTGGCAAGCGGACGTCGCTGGATCGTTTTGGATTCGGAGACAGTCGTACAGCTCTCGAGAGCTGTCTCGCAGTGTGGAAAGAGGCGAAGGACAAAGGAAACCAGGAGGGGGCTCGGATGCGGTAGCAAAGTGGTAGGTGTTCCAATGGTGGCCACCAAGAAGGCGGCTCGATTCCAGCGTTAGGGGGCAAGGGGGGGGAATAGAAAGTACAGCCCGTATCCTGATAAGATAAGCCAGCACGGGCGCGGGCGCTGGCAGTACTGTGGCAGTCCTGTGGCAGGTCTCCCAGGTCTCCCGAGTCAGTGTCCCGCAGAAGGCGGCATCCGTCCAGTTCAAGCGCCGTCGTGATTCAACAAGTTGCGTTAGCAGTCAGATCAGTTAGATCACATCGGCATGCAGAGTTATTACAGTAGATTATTTCGTGACAAAAGAAATGTGGCAGCAAAGCGCCAGTCCGAGCAAACGCCTCGCAATGCTATCCCAACTCGACGTTCGCCTTCCAGCCCTGTATACTACAACAACAGAAGGTCAATGGTAATCATGCGCTGCAGATATGCAAGTCCGAACCCGACATGTACACTCGTCCGTCTCACGTCCTTCAGTCCTCTCAGGGCATCACGCTGTGCCGCCAGCGCTCCACGGAGCTGGGCGGCGGCGCCTGCCCGGCCATTGGCATCTTCATGTTCATGTTCATGCCCATGTTCATGCCCATGTTCATACCCATATTCATGCCCATGTTCATGCCCATCGGCATGCCGCCCATGCCTTGCTGCATCCCCATGCCACCCGTCTGTGGCACCTGCATCTGCATCCCCATGCCCCCGCCGTAGCCTTGACTGTACCCGCCTTGCATGCCGAGGGCAGTACCCTGCATGCCGCCGTACATGCCCATCTGTGACGGTTGCGGTGCGTAGTTGTTCATGGCGACACTGGTCCGGCTGGCATTGACCCCCATCCCCGAGGGACCGTAGACACCGAGGCCCGCCGAACCGTCGTTGTAGCTGCCGTTGCGGAATCCTCCAGTGCGCGCTCCGTGCATCGCCGTCGGCAGCGTCTGGGGCATCTGCGCCCTCAACGCCGCCATCTTCTCGTCCTGCATCCGGGCACGACGCTGCTCCTCCTCGAGCCTTCGCCTCTCCGCATCCTGCTGTTGGGTTTCACGTACAGGGTGTGCGCCGAGCACGTCTGCCATGTTCATGGTCCGGCGCGGTACGAGCGAAGGTCGGATCTGCGTGTTCATCTCTCGCTCCCTCGCCTCACGCTCGGCTTGCAGGCGCTTACGCCTCTGGCCGAGCGTTTCCTGTTCTTCGTCGGCGTTCTTGACAGGGGCTGCCTTCTCCTTCGTCTTGTCTTCGTCCAGATCACCAAATTGACTGAGGAGCTCGACGGAGAACGCTGCAGAGACGGGCCTCGTGCGAGGCAGGTTCGAGTGTTCAGCCTCCTCCTTGGCGCGAAGACGACGAACCCGCTCAGCCAGCGTCTCTTCTTCGATCTCAGGCTCCTCGGGTTCTTCGATTCGGGGTGCCCTGGCTTCGAGATCCAACCGGCTAGCGGACCGTTGCGGCGATGGCATCCGTGACAAGCGGTTGTTGCTAGCGCCCCCCGGGTTCAGTGTCATCATACTCCGGTGCTTTGAAATAGTCAAAGGCTCGTTGCCTTGTAGGCGGGCTCGTCGCGCGCTGAGGGGCTCATTGTCTTCCATCTCACGGCGTTCCATGAGGCCGATCGGCCTGTTGAGCTCGGCCATGGCGGCGGTGAAATCATTGTTGCCCGCAGCCTTGCTGGCGTAGAGCAAGCCCAGCGGCACGTCTTCATCCTCGGAACTGTGGTCGGGGTTGGCGTCAGGGTCCTCCCAAGCCAGGTTCACGCGGCGCGTCTTGCGCGTCTTGCGCTGTGCCTCGGCCACGGCGTCGAGCTCCAGCAGGGTCGAATGCATACCCCCGGGGACAGCTTGGTGTTGGTTGCGCGTCCGCAGCTTCTGCTCGTGCTTTCGAAGCTGCAGTTCGGCCAACAGAGTCGTAGGGGGGCCCGCATAGAGTTCCTCCTCGTCCTCGGACACGAACTCCTCTTCGTCGTCTCTGCGATGCTCGCCATCGACACTGCCAGAGAGCGCTTGGCTCTCGTCCTCATCGCCACGTTCCCTTGTTCTATTGCTATGTATGGAAACGCCAGTCATGGTGTTTCTCCGATCAGAGGAACCATCATTGCTTGATTTGCCAAACGGCATAAACGAACCACGTTTCTTACCATCAGCATGCTCTGGTTGCAGCAGGGCAGACGACTTGCGGTTCGCCTTCTTCTCACGACCATAGACCTCCCGTCCAAGCTTGCCAGCAAACGCGTGATCAGTAAAGGCATCAACAGGGGCATTGGCCGACGCATCAAGGATGCTGTCGAGGGTGTCCATCGCAGAGCCACCTTTCATTTCGACAGTGGGCGGCTCGGGCGGCAATTCGAAAAAGGCGCTGGCACGCAAATGCGGTGGTAGATCCTCCATGGGAGCAGACTTGTGGGCGTCCATTTCGACCGTGCGAGGAGAGCGCTGCCGAGCGGCCGGTGGAGGTTGGGGCATCGGGTCGTAGGGGGAGTCAGGCCCCTGTTCGCGGCCGGCCGACCATGAGCGTTGTTCGTGGCTACCATCGAGCAATGATGTCCTGTCATGCGCAGGCTCCACTGGCGATGGCTCCAGGGGAAAGGGGGAGAACGCCTCAGACTCCACGGGGTCAGGCAGCCATAAGGTCGACTGGCGGACGGGGGGTGCGTGCGAGCCTCGCTCCATGTACTCGGCCTGTCCGAGACCTGGGTGACCCATAGCTTGCAGGACTTTGGAGTGCCTGGCGTTGCGGATGGCTGCCTTCGGTTTCCTAGACAGTTTGGGCGGCAGATTGAGCATAGCTGGCACGCGAGCCGGGTAATACATCATCTGCTGGCCCGTCTGCATGTCAAAGTAGGACTGTGGGCGCGGCATGTCCGGTCGGCTGAATGGCTGCTCGCTCTGGGGCTCCGGCATGGGTTCCGGCTCAGGCATCGGTACATCCTCGAAGTAGCCAAAGTCCGGCTCGCAGTGCACGCCGTCAAAGTCTCCAAACGCATCGTTCGGATCGTATGTCATCGTGGACCGCGGCGTCGCTGGGCGGTCTTCCTCAGTCCCCAACTCTTGTCGAGAAGTCCTTTGACTCGTATTGTCGCCCTTCTTGCTGTCACTAGGTGCTCCCGTGGCCAGGGCATTATCCAGCAGTTTGTGGAAGGCCTCTGTGCTTGCGTCGCCGTGGTACACATCTCCCGATGGCTTCGTGCCATTTCCGGTCTTCTCTTCGTGTTCGTTGTGCGCTGGTAACTGCTCAGCTTTATCAAGGGCGTCGTTGGTCAGTGTTGTGGGTTCCGTCTCGGCGATTTCGGTCAGCGACATCTTGGTTGATCGCGCGCTGCGAGTGGACGATTTTCCTGGGCCGTTCCTTGACACAAACGCATCCACGTCAAAGTCGGGACGGCCGTTGGACGTTTTTGAGGCGGACCGCAGACGGCTCGTGAGGGAATGGTTGGGCGACATTACGTATCCGGCAGGGGAGTAACCGCCGTATCTCGCTGCGTTGTTGACTTCGACAATATTGCTTGCCGATGATATATGACGAGCGAGCGAAGGGGGTGCCGGTGGGTGGCTGCCGTCAAGAGGCGGAGAGGGGCCTTCGGGAGAGGATGCTGATGCGAAGGCAGGATTGGAGGCGGCCAAGATGGACGATCTTCGACTGTCGCTTCTCTTCAATTCGCAGTGCAAGTCTCGAATGGCGTCCTCGATCGAACTGGTCATGGACAGCCGCTCGGCCGTCTTTTCGAGAGTGGCAATATTGCCAGTGTAGGCGCCAGAGCGGGTGTTGAGGTCAGGGACGGGATGGCAAACAGTAAACTTGTCGCTGTCGGAGGTGGTGCGGACGATGGGTTGGGGACGGTGCAGCGTCGTAGACGCTGTGGCTACGGCTGACGGCGACCCCGGCGATGAGGATAACGGCGATGCGGCTTGTTGCTGCAGCGATGCTTGCAGGGTCTCTTGCAGTTGCTCAATGAGACTTGTGGGGGACGAGGGAGAGGAGAGGGTGCTGTCGAGGTTCGATGCAATTGTGGTGTCGAGCGTGTTCGAGTTGTTTGTTTTCGTTTGTGTGTAGCCAGGAGGTTGTTGAGTGCGATGGGTGGCACGACCGGCCCCTTTGGAGCCTAGCAATAATGCCGGGATGGACAGCGGTGTTGAGCCTGCATGACCCCTGGCGCGCGAGAAGCTTGTGATTTCGGCGCTGTCATCTTCGCGGCTATGCTGGTCGGGGCCCTGGCTCAGAGCTTCGCTATGGCCGTGGTCGGCCTGTGCGTCCTTGTCCAATTCGTCTGCATTCTTCGGTGCGAGGTGCTCCTTGGCGGACGCAGCATTCAATTCCCCTTTTTGCGCACCAGCGCCGGACGCAGACGCAGGACTGTCATGAGCGGGTAGAACGGAGTCATGGGCGAGCACAGGCGCATTCCCCTCGAGCGCCACACTGACTCTGCGAGCTGCTGCGTCTTGCTCGCCGCGGGCGGCGTTGCTGTCGGCTTGGCTTTCTTTCACGGTCGCAGGCGGGTCGCAAAAGCGGTCGCTGCTGTCGACAGACGTGGACAGTGGCGTCAACGTGGCGGCGGCGGCGAGGGACATGTTCTGGGCTGGGCTCGCGCTGGTCGAGTTGTTCGTGGTGGAAGGCTGCGAGGACAGGAAGCCTTTCGCATCGTCATCGGCATCCGGAGAGGAGGCGACGCTGACGAGGGGAACGTAGGGTGCCGTCATTATGAGAGGGGACGAGGGTGAGACCTTGAGGCGGGCTCCTCGAATCTGCTCTACAGCGTGGTGCGTGCTACGCGGGCCAGACTCTGGACGCACAGCTGGAGAGAGTCTGGACCAGTGATCGTGGCAGTGGTGCTGAAGCTGGAGCGGGTTTGTCTCGTATTGGTAGCGGGGGGGGCTTGCTAGGTCTTGAAGCTCGTGTTCCAGATTAGCACGCTGGGTTGAGCAGGATCGGAGGCAGCACAGCGTGGATGTATGGCAGGCAAGCAAAACATAGATGAAAGGGAGAAGATCGCTATCGTGTCGTGGGTTGAAGTGTCTTGGTGTCGCAAAGTCGGCGTGTCGCAAAGTGGTGGCAAGCGAGAAGGAGTGTGTCGTGGGGTCAGAAGTGCTGTCTCTCTCTGACTCTCTCTCACTCTCTCACACACACACAAGCGTGGCGCGTCGGTCGGGTCCCAAGAGGGGGGGAGATCCAGTATGTAAGTCTGCGCAAAGCTATGGCGGTTCGTCCATGGCAAGTCGAAGCGACAAACGGGCGATCCCCACGAGGGTTGCAATCAGTCAATCAGCGATGGAATTGTTGGTGGATGCGCGAGTCGGCGACCCTGGGACTGAGAAAAGTTTCAATGGCGTGGTGATGTTGACTTGTCGAAAGTATTTTTTTTCCACTCCCCGCTTCGCTTCTTTGCTGAAGCAACGAAGGTCAGGGATCCGCGGAAGATAGCAACAAAGCGTACTAGGTAGACAGGCAAGGCGAAGGTACGCGAACACGCGCATGGAGAGACGGGTATGATACAGGAGACGGAGGGCGGGAAGGCGGGCAGCAGGCGACGGACAGGGACGGGCACATGGGCGATGCAGAGTTATATCGGGCCCGCGCTGCAGCTTGGTTCTATCGCCTGGCCGTTTGGAGTATGGAGTACTTATGGAGCAGGAGCAGATGGAGCAGCAGGGAAGGCACAAAGGCTGTTTGTTGGTCTGGCACTTTCTTCTCCCCATCTCGCATCCTGCGCTTGCGCCTGCATCCTCAAGCACAGTACCCAGTACCTTGTCCGTACCTGCCGACTCTGTAATTCGATCCAAGGTCCGGGGCAGCAGCGACCTCTCGCGACCAACCGTACGTGCCTGCTCTGTGCTCTGGGCAACGACCAAACCACAACACACACCAGCATGTATGTGCTTGCCAGTAGCGGAGCCGAGCGAGTACCTCCGCATAGGTAGCGAGGGCAGATGACTCGAGGGTAATGTGCCTGTGGTAGGTACGTACGTACGTAGTAGGTAGGCCAGTCTCTGCCCGTTCCTTGCTTTTTCGGCCTTCATCCTCCCCCAGGTCTGCACCGAATCTGCCCTGTTCTGCTGTACTCTGCTGTGACTTGTTGTCTGACTTGGCTTTCTAGCGTCTGCATCTAAGCGTCTTTGGGATGCGCCAGCCGAATGGCAGCGGATGGGTTTGCGCTTTGCCTCTTTTTCCCGCCCTTCGACGGCTCTGGCTTGGTGCTAGTACCCGTCGGCGGCGACTGATTCATCAAGTCTTTTTCCGGCCGGCCGTCTGGGTTTGGGGGCTTGCAGGTTGAGGGGGCCCTGAGAGGCCGAGAATATACTTTTTTAGCCCCCTTTTCTTCACGACGGCGACGTTCCACGGCTCGGTACCTTGCTACTCGAGTCAAACAACCAGAACGAACACATGGCGACAGCAGACGGCCCCAAAGCCCCCGTCAAGTGGATCACATTTTCGCCATTTCCTTTGTTCGTCCAACTCAAAATTCGTGCCCCCCGCCCCCTACGGTACCCTTCGACCCAACTGCCAGCGACAGGGTCTGTCCTACCCGACGACGGTGCCTATCTGGTGGCTTGCTGACGATGGGTGTGGATGCTGGTGTTGCTTCATCTCACTGACAGCGCACACGCGGACGCCCAGATGCCGCCGAGCACATGCCCTGGGCATTGTGGCTCTCCATGGCCAGTGCGCATCGGGTTCGACGCATCAATGACAGCGCCATGGCTGCTCGCTGCATGGCGTGGCGGTGTGCTGTCCCCAGCGTTGGGTTGTCCAGGTCAAGAAGTGCCCAGGTACCTACAGCGTCTACCAGAGAGAGGTGAGGTACCTACCTAGCTAAGTAGGTACCTAGGCACTGGGAGGTGAGGTACCTACCTAGGTACTGTAGGTAGGACACAGGCCAGGTGATTGTTTCCGCGAATGCATTTGGGCGTACAACCGTTTACTTGCTCTTCCGCCTCTCATACCATCTCATTTCTCCCACTCACTCCATCGTTGGTCCTTGTTCGTTGCTCCCCGTTTTACCGTTCTGTCTGTGGATGCCAGGGACATCTGTTCTCCAACAATGGATCCACCGCCTCCGCCCCCTTCTACTCTTCCTCTCTCTTTCGAGCACCAGGTCAGTCTCATCACGAGCCCTCAGCCCCGCTTCCGCTTCCGCTTCCGCTCCCGCGCCACAGAAGACTCGCGGCAGTCGACCTGCCCCTCCTCCCTCCTGGCGATGGCGATGGCGATGGGGACGGAGCAGGGCAAGACATGGCAGCCGGGTGCTCCGCTTGGCCCAACGTTTGCGAGAGGGTCAGTTTAGCGCCTCGGACGGTGGGGACCGTGACCTCGTTCATGTGTGGCTCACACGCTCAGCAGGGCAAAGTTTGGGCTGCGGCTTCCAAGGCCCCCGCTTCCGCCTAGGGATGTACATGTACGTCCCCGCCTGCCGCTGCCGTCTCCCAGGCACGCCCAGGAGGTCTTGCCTTGTTCGGTGCGCGCATGCCAATCAGAGATTCAGCTTACCCACCCATAGAAGCCCACCCGTCGTGTTCTGGGCCCTGGCCGTTCCTGAACATCACTCCACTGAGAGACAGGCAATGGCCCACACCACATGCTTCTCCCCCTGTCTGCTGCCTCTGCCTCGCCTCGACACCACCCGGGTACGTAGCTTGGTTTGCTTGGGTAGGTGTCGCCTACTCTTGGTACCGACTGCCCTACTGATCCTGTTTTGGGGCTCCTGCAGCGCTCGGTGAGACGTGCCTCGTACTAGCAGCGATGATCGGTCAACCCGTTCACAAGGCGGGTGACAGCAGCAATCCATAGAGGGAAAGCGCTGTTTCTGTCTGACCTTAGCCCACTTTACCATTTTCCTTGGAACACGAGCAAGCTTCCACATGGCAGTAGCAGAGCTGCAATGCGCAGCTTGGATCTGCAGCTTCTCCTCCTGGTCAGCATTTCGCCCAGCTCGTCACGATGCTTTGGTATGGCTGACTCTTCCTCCAGACAAAAGAGGGCCTCCTAAGGCCTGCCGAGATTGACATCGACACGTCTGATGGAAGAATGGTGTCAATCGCAACAACAAAAAACATTGCGTCCTAGCACTGTTGTGGACATTATCACCGTCAACGTATGCCCGTGCGTCACCCGTCTTGCCGAGGCGATAAGCGACCTCATCTCCCGTTTTGCCCTCCTCGCTATCATGAAAATCAGTAAAGGTGCGAATTTCAAGTCAAAGGAACCTCGTTGATAGACGCTTCGTCTACTGTACGGCTGTACGCCTCTTCGTCGCTGCATACAGAACGCGCAATCCCCAGCCGCAGGATCAGGGATCCAGATACTCAGAATGACGGCTGCCACCCTTTCCTGCCCATTCGCCCGCGCGCTCATAGGCCGCATTCGTCTTTCGCCAATCTCGAGACTCATTTCCCAGCCAAGGCACGGATGCCCTTTCTGCAGCCTGGTGCTCCCAGTCGAAATGAGGTACGCGTGCGACGATAATGGAACAAGGCCATTCTGCCTGCCAGGTCTTGCTGCCAGCACCCTCTCCATGCCGCCGCCTTACGGTGACGGATTGCATCTCGGGCCTAGCGCGGACGCTGTCGTTCCATGGGTTCACTCGCTCGTTGACGTGGGCGCCGTCCTAGAGCGTAGCCTGGATGCTTGGCGGGCGCCGCTACGACGCGACCCTGGCGATTGACCAGTTTTACAGCATGGACTTCGATATGGGCTTTGTCTACAACCAGACGGCCAAAGCTTGACGAATTCTCGGTTTGCATGTCGTCGATCTGTCTGCCCACGAACCCTGCGCCTCAACTGCCACGATCCTCGCTTGTGTGCACCTGCCAGTTGTTCAGTGATCATCAGCAACACGGTAACTTTCACAGACGGCATGGCCTTCGAGCTCGGCCAAATGTCACCTGAGCACTACGCACCAGCTGAACGTGCGACCCATAGTTCCCGCACGTTTGAACGTAATTGGAACATTGACTACTCCGGCACCCATGAACGGCGGCGCTCAAGCTGCAGGTAAGCTGTCGGATCAGCAGCGGAAAGGCGTTGCTTCATGCAATGCATCGTCAAGAGGCCACCGACGCCGACGCCGACGCCGACATGGTAGATGACAATACTGGTTCACCTGACTCGGTGAATGGACTTGTGGCGAACCAAAACCCGAAGATAAGCCCGTACGTAGGATGCAGCCTCGCCGTGAACCTGTCGCGGGCTGTCTTGGCACGCTTCATCGCCATCAGAGTTATCAGTGATCCAATTTCACAACCATGATAAGGGTATCTTAGGATTGACGCTGTGCTACTAGACGTACCACGCGACGTGCGTATATCGCGTGTCTTTGATGTATTGCATGTCTCTGGCGGCATGGGCGCTGCCCTTTCGGAAATGACCAAGAGACATTCAATCAGGAGGTGCGGCCTGAACTCGATTTCTCGAACACGAGCTTGCGAACGCCAACTAGGTCCGCATGAATGGGAAAAAGCCTTGGCCTTTTCGTAATCTAGGACAGAGGCAAGCGTGTCATTGTCCCTCTAGAGACGAGACCATTGAACAGGGTCACGGCGGCTATCGCGGACGACACATGACGCAAAGGCTGATTCTCACGATGGTTTGCTGTCCCCTGGCTCTTGATATGTCACACCGCACCAACTTGATATCGCATCCCAGCGCCGATCACTCTGAGACAATGCCAGCGTGGCGAACCACCACTGCAGATTGATGCAAAGGCATGAGGCGTCGGGGCCGGTGCGTTTAGTTTGCATTGCCAAAGGCCACTGCGCAATCACGTCTCGGGGCATTCTGGAGAAGTAGACTTCTGAACCCCTGCTAAGGTCAACAGACAGCTATTTCCCAAGGTATAGATATTTTTCAACTCTGTCGTGCTATTCTTCATTGTCTCTAGATACGAACAAGCTGACTTGCAAAGCAAATTGAGCTTGGCACGCCTTTTGGGCTTCAAGCATGTATGTCGACGCCCAACGCCCAATAGTCACCATTCGATCTGCGGCTGTTCAGCCTACCGTCGTGGAAGCTTTGCTGGCATCTTGGGTCTCCTGTGACGGCTGGGAGGGGTGCCATATCCTGTGGATCCCAAGATAGATGAATATCATGAGCACGATGTACTCGACCAAGAGGCACATCAACGCAAAGGCAGCTGCCGATCCGACAAGGGGATTCCAGATGGTGTTCGGATCGTGAATGGTAAACGCATACAACAGGCCATAGGCAGTTCGGACAGCCAAGAATGGTACGGAGACGAGCGCAAAGCGGATATACTGCTCATAGTCAGTTTATCACAATCGTAACGCTGAAGATGACGAACTCACGTAGCAACCACCGGCGGGAATGCGGTCCGTCTGGGTCAAGAGGTACACCATCTCTGCCGTAGCCAGAGCGAGAATCGCCGCCAGAATGACATAGGCAGCCTTGGTGAGGATCCTCGCCGTCGCAAGGGAAGAGTCGTCGCTGCTGATACCGCCGGCGACGGCCAGAAGGACGATGGCGGCGAGGAAGATGAATCGCACAGCCTTGAGGAACTGTCGGGCACGAGAGTTCTTGTCAAGGCTTGAGTTGAGACTGGACAAACAACTAGTCAGCTGGGTTGACATAGCGCAGACATTGTGGGAACAACAAGTCCATACGTGATGCGCATGATGCCGATTAATGACACCAGGAGCGGGATCAGCCCAACGTTGAGGAGGACGCTATCGGCAATAATGAGGCCAATGTTGCGAGGTTGCGGTCCCCGGATGATGGAGATGATTCCGCCAGCCAGACGTACTGAGACTTGTTAGCTTCACGACTGTTTGTGAGTGAGTAGAATCACTGACAGAGGCAAAATGTCACCAGGGGGTACCATGCCATTCGAGGCGGCTGCCGCCAATTCTTCACGAAGACAAAGATTGCCGTTGGTAGCATGGGGGCGTAGAACACCACCTGGGCGATGCCCACCGCTGTGTGAGGGTGTACCATTGTGAAGAGTGGCGATATCGTAACTTGAGTCGATTAAGTTGCAGTGATGAGATGAATTATGGTATGCTGCTTCTTGGGATAGTTTTGGGGTGTTATATAGACGCCAAGTCCTACAATATGTCCTCACTCCTTCGCTTGCACGCAAGAGGCCGCCATGTTGCCCTCTGGTCAGCCCATGATATTGTTCTCTTCACTTGCGTCGTCATGCCTCGAATGGGTGCCTACTTCTGGAGTCAGGTTCGGACCCTTCAGTCGGATGATCGGCACACGTCGTTCCCATATTGCTGTGCTGGTCTGGTTTAGCTGGGCCCCGAAAAACAGGCTGTCCGCGGCTAACGTGCCGAGCACAGCCCTACGACATCCATTTCGAGTTAGTGATTCGAGCATCGGTAAGTACGCCATTCGGAACGCCTCGAAATGATGGCAAATTGGTCGTTTTCAGCTCTTTTTGTCATCGCATTGCGCGTAGATGTTCCATGGGAAGCTTATACACCCGTAAAGTATGCTTCCCATTGCCGGATAGCGCTGGTGCCTCTGAGTTTTGTTCTTGGCTACCTTGAGGGCGCAGCTGCTGAAGCTTCATATCCGCTTCAGATCCGGTTGGGGTGGCCTCAATCGCGCATTTATCAACTCACGGATTGCGTTCCTGCTGTGTGCCGTGCATCCGTCTCACCTAAGATCTGGGGTGGCGGCTTAAAGTCTAACTTCTTCTGCTAAATAGCATCTCGTTATGCGGCTTATGATTTTTGGGTATCATATTGACCGCAATTGCCAACGGCGGTATATGAGTGCCTTCAAGGGTACACAGTATGCGTCTGTTTACGTTGCCGAGTTGCTGAGCGGGTGGTGTACAGTGTGTCACCATGTATTGGCAGAGGACCTTGCTATTCATCCTCGATAGGTGTTCCTGGCCAGGGAGTCCATCTCATGCAGACGTGTCAAGTCAGCCATATCCATGTAGCTGTTCTGATGAATACTCCCTGAACGCAAGGACTTTTGCGATGGTTTTGTCAAATTAATCAGGTAAACTAAGTGTGCCGCTCGATCTGCATGTGAAACCTGCATGTGACGTATACAATCTTCGCAATATGACTTTTGGTTGCTTTATCAAGAGAAGAGCACAATAGGTAGCCTGCGTAACCCAGCCTCTGCTCTCAGAGTCTTTTCGAATGCTTCAGTGAATTTCCCAAGCATACACCGACACGGTCGCTACTTGTATTTTCTGTAGAACAGGCGAGGAATTTGCTGCTTAAAGCGTTAGCATAGCATTGAATGTCATTCTGCAAAGTGATTAAAGTTCTATTAAGAGTTGTGGCCAAGCTAGCAGAGATGCGTATCTGACTCTGTTGCATTTTGAACGGCTAGCAAGTATAATATCGAGGCCCCTCCCCCCCCCCCCCCGGACCCGACCTTGCGCGAGTGTTCAGTTTATTGTCCAAGATGGCTTTTTGGCTGACATTGAACCAAGGAACATTCTGCTCATGTCGAGTCGTATGATCCTGTGTTCATCCCATCATTGCCATAACTCTCTCCCGGTCACGACCCTTGTGAACGCAAAACGTCTAGGCGCGTGCTGTTCATCAGCCACCGTCCGAGGAACCAACACGAATCATCGTGATCGTATGAATACCAATGGTCTCTCTGATTTCGTTGATCTCTGAGCCCCTTGAGTATATATCTGAACAAAATAGGACATGCTGCTGTTTGAACAATCTGAATAGCAACGTTGTCTTTGATGCTCGTAGTCTATGCTATTTGTTTGCTCCTGGAAAAATGGTAGAGACGAGACAAAAACGAACGCGTGTTTAACAACCCCCCCTCCTGCTGGAGGCTATAAGAGTACGTCAAGACCGGTGTTTAGCCCAGAGTTACGAGAGAGAAGAAACTGAATAATCACACTACACTACTTTACAATTTTGATCAAGTCAGACCGCAGCTAATCGTGCGTATTGGTTGTCAGGTGGCCCTACAGAGCCACGAAACCCCGGGGCTGATTAGGGGGCTAAGGGCTACAAGAACGTGTATAGAAGGAGCGCGGAGGGACATAATTCAGATGTATTACGACCCCATACTCATCACCTATCGCCTGCGAACCTCGTGCGGAAGACCTCTTCACTCGACCCACTTATAATTGCAGTGTAGATTCCTGCCGGTGTGTAATTTGGAGCAGAGTGAAGAGGCCTTTCACATGGTCCACAGGCAATAGACGATAGATATGGGGGTGTAATGCATCTGAACTCTGGCACTCCCTGGCCCTCCGCAACGAGGAGGCTCCGCAGCTCTTATATACGCATTCTCGAAGTCCTTGGCCCCCAAGTAGCCCCCCGTTCGGTGGCTTCACAGGGGGCCTCCTGTCATTCGCTGCTCTACATGTAATCATCGCAGCGTCAACGAAGTCAAGATGTCGTCAGCGTCACAAAATTCGACCATACAAACCACACATTGTGGCCAAGGCACAAGCAGACCGAAACCAGATGCAGCATCCTCATAGTGTCGCTGGCGACTCAGCTTCATGACGCTAATTAGCCTCAGAGAGCAACAGCGTCACTGAAGAATCCGACCATGCAACCACAACATCCAATCACAGGTTCATCGAGTCAGCACCCACCTTGGTTCTACCACTACTAGCATGTTTCAGCATCATCACCGCAGGTATCTCATCGCAAGTGGTCTCAGATGCCAGCTAGAAGTGCACCTCCAGTACAGTCCAGCGGCCGCCGGACAGGCGACCGTCTTTTGTGGACGTGCTGGTCGCGATCTCGATGGGACAAAAAAA